CTTTAGTCTTGCTTGCTAGCTTATTTCCAAGTAGAAGCCAATCTTTACTGGGTCCTCCCAAATGTTAAATGTTGAAAGGGACCCTAAAACAAAACAAACATATCTATGAGTTTAAATTTCCTTACACCAACAGTGAGGAGAATTCAAGACTTTAAAGTCACTTTGATATGTGACAGGAGGAACCAGGGATGGTCCATAGATCTGACAGACACAGGATTTCCATGCATCCATTCACTCTTTCCAAACCAATGCTCTCCACTTTGAATAATCAAGTTTTATCATCTCCATTTCAGCTACCTTTGGGACCACTCATGGTGATGGGCTCATATTTTACACTACATACACAACTATCCCTTTCTTGATATTCTAAAATAACAAGATTGCCCATGTATACAGGAAACAAAATGAAACAACAATATCATGATAGCAAAAGTGTAATACTTATACTATACTACGTATATCTTATGCAAAAATAAAATAAATTATACAAATAAATATAGCAAAATGAGTTGTGGGGGTGAGGGAGTGAATCTTTTTGTGTTACTGACAAGGACAAACATTATTGCACAGACGAAGACCATAGCAGCTATGACAGTCAGTATGAGGTTAACAGCACTGCTTGTATATCTTACATACTCCCTCCTGATCGGATGGATTGCTTCCTAGAATTATCCTCAGTGGATTAGTCATTAGGGAAGTGATGTGAGCTCATCTGACAGTAAGATGTCACATGCAAATCTTTCACTGACTAAATGGAAATAAAAGTTTTTGAAATTCATGTAGAGTTTTCTTCATGTGTTATGTTAAACCCCACCGAATGTCTTGTGTCTTTGTAGATTATTTCTTAGTTGTACAGTGTGTACTGAATACAAAATAACTGAACAAGAATCAGTACTGCATTTGTTGCTTATGTGAATACCTGTGTTCATGTAGACAAAATGTTTGGGGTGCTGCCTCAGAGCTGGAAGGCAACAAACAGTTGGCAAGAGACAGACTGGCACAATCAGGACATGGCTCTATTTAAAGAGGTACTCCAGCAAGTAAGTATTACATGTGTATGAAGTTAGGCGATTTAACAAAGACAGATTAACGAGACTAACACTGTGTTCACACATACAAAGTAGTAGGCATCTTCTGGTCTCTCAAAAATATGTGGCTCTGTTGCATTAATTTACATACTCTCCTCTGTCTGGACATTTGTTTTCTGATGTTGCTGTCAGAAAGAAAAAAGCCATTGCTTGTTTTAATTTCCTGTTGCACAGTTTGTTTCAGAATAGCTTCATTCGCGGCCTTTTTTAATATGGTCTGTGCTGTTGAAACTGCCCAATTACAACAATAACGCCGGAGCTGGCAAGACTGATGAGCATGGCGGCCCTGCCCGCCAGGCGTTCGTCAGCCCAACTACCTCGGCCCAGATCCAAAGAAGACATTATAAAACTGTTTTTACAGGCTGAGTAGTACTCAACATAATAAGTAAACTTAGACATGATGTGTAAAATGTAACCATGTGAGTGTCACTTTAACAGGGTTGCAGGGCAGATTTTTTCTGTTAAATTATGAGGACCCGATATAGACCATGAACTTAAGACTAAAGCCATATTTGATAAATATGCTATAAAACACAAGGCGCTTTAGTTGATCAAGCATCAACAAAGTAGTCTCTAACACACGTGGAAGATAAACACCCTCCACAAATAATGACATGCCCATCATTTCCAAAGCTTACACAATACTCGCTTTCCATGAGATGCTTTCCATTAGTCATCTCAACTGAGACGGAAAGCTTGCCTTCGCCTTCTGCTAACTTGGTGTGTTGATCAACCCTAAAACACAGCGCAAGCCCACACTAGAGTGATTCCGTGACAGGAGTTCCTCAAACACCTTCAGAGACTGCAGGAATTGTCCACAGAGGAGGTGGCAGATGCAGTGCTAACAGTAGTTGCTTTGTAAGAGAAACACTACAGCAGGTACAGCTGCTACTCTTTTCTCACAGCTGTAATATGAAAGCCTGTCAGACATCAAATCAAGAGCTCTTCGTTGTGGATTCAACAGTGTGGAGCGTCTTAACACTCCAGACTGGAAAACACAGTTCAGTCACACATGAGGAGTTGTCTTCCATCTCCGAGGGAAACAATCCTGTCAAAGTATTTATACTGCAAATGAAAATTCTTTGTATAATCTTAGTCAGTCTTCTAGAAACAGAATCAGCTTTATTTGCCAGGTTTGTGTACACGTACGAGGAATCTGACTCTGGATTGTACATTGCTCACGATGTGCTTACTTATACAATGATACAATAATAAAATCATACACACACTCTAAACAAAAACAACAACAGATTGAGACAATAGTGCAATGAGCACAGTGCAAAGGATGCAGGAATTAATAAGTATTACGTGCGGGTGTTATGTACTTGAGGTAGGTGGGTTTGGTATCCGGTATTTACAATAAACAAAATGACAATATGAACAGGATGAACAGCACTGAAATAGAGAATGATGAAAAAACATAATAAGTGGTAACCAGTAAACAGGTGGCTGGTAGTTTACCATTTGTGAAAACTCTAACTCATACCTTTAATGGATGTACGTCAAAGCATCAAACCCTGCCAGTACCCAATCCATCTAGGCCAGGGTCATGCACGGATTTCAATTTTCATCCATTTTGAGAGCCTATAAATGTGTACACTCCCACACAAAGATGCATCCAGAGGTGCAGCCCGCACCGATCACTTGGAGAATGCATCAAGTAATTACACATCAAAGTAAAGTATCAAAGAAAAGCACTTCCTCCTAATTGTATGTAGCTCTGCAATCATTTAGTGATCACACTCAATTGGTATGATGACCAAAAAAAAAAGAAAAGACAATTTTTGCAAAAAGAGAAGCAGCAGGGTACAGCAGCGTTCACCAGCCAGAACGGACCAGCTGAAGAACAGACACTCCCTGTTTACTCTCTGATTCTTAGCATTCGGCTGTGCTTGACATAATATGGGTGATGATGTCCAGGCCTCCATGTTAAACTGTTCATGATATTTATTAAAGACACTAATATAGTAATAACAAAATAGACACAAACCTGCACACACAGACAAAGACGATTTCTTTCTCGCCCATCCTACTCAAGTAATTTCCCAGAGGGGCTGAAGGAGATGGGAGGTGTTGACATGTCCTCTGTTCAGTAGCTGGGTCGTAGCTCTGGTATGATTACCAAAGCTGTTATGGCTGTCAGCACATTTAGCAAGAAAAAGCGGGCAACAGAAACAGAGGTGATGCTCATGTTGCTAATTTACACTACGCAAAATGACTCCAGACATTACACCAATATAAAGCTTGTTCTTTGGAACATTTTGCTGCAGGGTTCATCAATCACAGAGGTACAACAGGACAAAAGGCTAGTTAGCCACATGATCCTGGGTTTGGACAACCATTTCATCTTGCTCTTAGTCCTGATGCAAGCCTGTCCTACGATGTATCAAAGTCCAATTTCTGGGATTTAAAGCTCATAACGTTGCATATGGAACATAAACTGAACCCACAAGAGGGAAGTTGAACTGCTCAGCAAAAATACACACAAACACATCAGTACAGTTGCAACACAGCCTCTGGCCATTTCAGCAGAGCTCATTCTGAATACTGGTGTGTGAATATTCAAATCATCATACTGTCAACCAAGTTAACCAAACAACACTGCACTGAAACTGGGGTTCTCTTTGCTGAGCAGACACTATGCAGTCTACCAATTCATTAGTCTGGGGTTAAGAAAAAAAGTGGAGACACTACAGTCATTTGGTGCATGTACTCGTTGCTTTTCAAGGTACAGCACCAGAGAGTCAGTTCATTTTGAAGTGATCCTTCAAGTAAATTCAAAGGAACAATACAGCCTTATGCCTCATGAAAGAGGGATTAAACTGAGGGTAAAATGAGCACCACTTGAGGTAGACATGAAGCCATAGTTTGTTTTAATTAGACACCAAAGACACTTTAGAACAGGGAAAACCATGTTTCCTTCGTTTTGTTTATGGTTTAAAACTGAGAAAGTCTCACTGACTTTGTGCTGAATGAGGTCATTTCACAAAATAGGCCTTATTGGTCACCACTGTAACTACAGTCGTATGTCTACGCTGACAGGTCAACCTTACCCCAGGGCTCCCTAATCATGTTCAATATGGCTGCAACAAACCATAACTCTTAGTACTGAATAAATCTAGTTTTCTTTGTTTAATCAGTTTGTTGACAAAATGTTGGAGAAATGCTCATTGCTTTTGAAGAAAGCTCAAGGGGACATCTGTAAATTGTTTATTTTGTGCAAGTATCCAAACCTCCAAAGATATTAAATTTTTGAGAAGCTGGAACCAGCATGTTTGGCTTTTTAGCTTGATGAGTTAAATGATTAATCAATAAATTTGACTAATTAATGAATAATTTCAGCAAAAGACCCCACTCCCATGTCCATGGTTCAGAGAGGGAAACCCAGACACCTTTGTATGTCACTGGACTGAAGAGCACACTAAAAAGAAATCCTCACTTTTGGGGACCACCTGGGTCGCCTTGAGGTCCCTGGTGGGATCCCGGACCCCAGTTTGTGAAGCACTACAATTAAATACTTAACAAATGTCCTATGTCGATGCATGAGGCAACAATATTTTACTACAGGTGCATGACCCAGATCAATGGCAGATTCTTAGCGTTCATGCGTGCTGCATTTCAGTGCAGTTTCCAATTTCATGGTGCCAAGTGTACGCCCGCGCGCGCGTGTGTGTGTGTGTGTTTAGAGTGATTAAAATCCAGGGCAACTGCAGAGGATCCAGTGTCATTAAGAGCAATTCACTGAACAACAATAAAACACGGCGAGGAAACACGTGCAGTGTTATCCATCTGCATTGCACAAGAGCATATTCAGCTTCACTTCCCCATATTCACACAGCACCGACTGGCCCTGCCAACCACGGCAAAACATTAATGCACTTCACACGAGATGATCTTAAAAGTTTCACTTACCCAAATGAGTGCTCGGGCGTGTTTGAGCGTTTAAGCGTTCCAGTCAAAGGGATCTTGGGGGATGTCCCGTTTGGACGCACGGTGCCTGTTTGATTCACTCTATTCACAGCCGACTATTAACACAGACTAACAGAGAGTCATCCACACAGGCTTCTGTGCTGGATGTGTTGCAGGATCAGCTGCTGAACTGGGATGTGTCCCATGTTTCATACCCTCTCTTCCGGAAAAGACGGACAGACCAGCCTACGCTACCCTCTCTTGTCTACAGTGGAGCCACAGAGTGAAGACACCCAGCGGCTGAATGTGTACACAGCCCGCAGCTGGCGGTTGTTGCACCACTGCAATGTGCATACAGCAGCAGAAGGGCTGGCCAGAAACACTTTGAGACTGCTTTGTAGCATGTCGACAGCACACGAATGACACCCAACTTTTATTATTCGACATAAAATGAAACCATGGGTCCTAAAATCCGCCCTGTTCCCACCGCATGACAACTATCGTGCCATTATTCACTGCACAATTATATAGACACTGGGGCCCATCACAAGTTCTGATTTCCATTATAATATCTAGCATTATATGTGCAGGGAATTAGATTATACGTTTTATAAAAAAAACAGGTGTTACATGTGGAATTTTCTATACTGCTCCTCCATTAAAGATGGGCTTTTATGGGCTGTGAATTTATGGAGCAAAAGTACAGCTAGCGCCTCTACTGGACATATCCCTATTTCATTTCCCAATTGACCAAATTCAAATGAACATCTCGGTAATTAGGGAAGATAAGCAGAGCGGTCATTTCTGACTGCAGAGGGTAATATAATTACTGACTGACTGCACTGTTAGACTAGTGAACATGTTGCAGGCAATGCAGTAATCAACCATGGTCATCAAAATCAATTAAATTCCCAGCAGATACTTTAACACATTTTCCCACAAAGGATGTTTGCTGAGCAGTGGCCTCCATTCAAAGTTACATACATTTACACTTCTGCTGCCTGGTGAATTATACTGTAGTCTCCTACTGTGTTAGACACTGAGCAGCTCCGGTGGAGCGATAGATGAGGGAGACTGGATTTAGAGGGAAATAAAAATGCAGTTACATTGCTGGCTAAGACATTCTTCTGTGTGAGAGTATAAGCTTAGATCTATAAGATTTATAAGATAGGCCTATGTTTTAAGACAGGTACAAAACCACCCTGCTTGGATTAATAATGTGTGTCTGATGTGGTTTTTCCACAGAAAACTAGTTTTAAAATCTAGCAATCAATTCTACTCATTCTCCCTCTGAAGGCTTAAAGTTTCCACATCACACTTGTGTACATAAGTTGCATATTGGATGTCGACTGACATCCAGTGATGTCACAAGATATTTCCTACATGTGTTAAACTCATTTACGAGACAAACAGCTGAATGCTGAAACATCCGTCTAGTTTCAAACTCGGCACAAGCATCATTCTGCACAGTGACTCGTCCATTAACCTGAGTTGAAGAGGGACTTGAAAGCTGTATTGGACATTCAAGAACACCCTCAGTCAAGATACTCTATTGAATTTAAAATATGTCAGCATTGTGCAAACTTGAAATGTAAAAATCGGCTGCAGGGTCCTATTGCACAGAGCCTCTCTGACCTGTTTTGGCATTTGGAAGTGAACGTTCAGACAAACACAGTCCCCCCAATGTAATATCCCTTTACTGTGCGTTCTCATTTTTACACTTAACTGTATCTTGTCTGAGTTGTATGACAGCAGTGATGTGTCCCTGAGAGGAGACACATGACAACATACTGCAGAGGGTGATAACAGAGGACAGATTACACTGTTCTGTACAGCACTTTAGGATGGATGGCGTGTCAGTAGTAGCAGGCCTGTGTCAACATCATTCAGTCTCTCTGAATAAAATACAAATCATAACGCAACAGAAAGCACTATACTCATTTAGTACAAAGACCACCATCCCCCTTCAGAATACTGTAAGTACTAAGTGTGTGTTCACTGAGTTGACTGTTCATTAGCACTAAGACTTTAACTACAGCAGGAGGAAGTATTCAGATCGTGTACTTAAGTAACTGTAAAACTACGTTGTTACATGTAAAAGTTGTTTAAATAAAAGCATGTATATGTATAATCACGAAAAAGTACTTAAAGTAGTACTTAATGCATAAAATGACCCGTGTGGCTTTTACAGTGATACATATATAATCATATATGACTCATCCATTAACATGTAAGCAGCATTTTACTGTTTTATTTGGATGAGGTGAAGCTAATGTTTTGCAAATGTATATCTTTTGCTATTGTATATATTAATTCATTGATTGTTTCAATGAATTAATAATAATAATTCAACAAACAAACAAAATTTAAAGTCAAATAAATGCAATAATTAGGAAGAAAAAGCAGCTAACTGGAACCATCAACCGTTTCACATTTTTGCTTAAAAATGATTTAAACGATTATGAAAATAGTTGCCAATAAATATCGTAATTGATTAATTGACTAGGACTTTCACCTCTAATTTGATATACTGTAAGTAAAATCTTTTTAATTTGTAAAGTAACTATTAACTACAGTTGCAGTCAAATTAATGTAATGGAGTTAAAAGTTGCATATTTAAAAAATGTAGTGGAGTGGAAGTATAAAGTGCCATGAAAAAAAAAACAACCTTATTTTGAACTTTAGTACAGTACCTGAGTAAATGCACTTACATTTTACCATTGGTCTGCAGTCACTATAAACACTACACAGTATCTGTGACTGTTTATCATATAACTGCAGCAAGTGGTCGATCAAACTGACAGAGGTTCTAGTGGGTGCTGCAGCCTTTGGGAGTACTATCCTTTCCCCGTCGCAGCCATGGGGGAAGTTCATTGCGAGTTCATTTAGTTTCTTGGCAACAGCTTCAGCCTCAGAGCACAACACTGGCTGACAACATGGAAGAAGGGGCAGAATGTCCTCTCTCTCAGCACAGTCACCCCCAAATTTTAATTATTTTTCTGTCTCAAGGCAGTTTTCTAGATGTTTGTCCTCACAGAGCCTGCTGCAGCGAGCAGCTTACTCCTTGTTCTCATATGAGTCATAGTGCAAAACAGCCACTGCACAGCCTTGTATGTGCATAGTGAGGCCGGCCACATCACACTAGTCTGATGGAGGCATGGTGCGTGACCAGATCATTATCAAAGATCTGTGACTCCTGCTTGTGTTACAACTTTCCCAGTAGAGATGTTTTTAATGATATCTTGTGCGGGAGTCGAAAATGAAAACAACAATGTTTTTCTATATTGTCTTTTTTACAAAGGTAAACAATTCATAATCAATGGGAGCAGTAGTCCATTTCAGAGAAGCAAAGAAATCATCTATGTTTGAGAGAAAAAAAAAACAGTTGGTCATAGAAATCTGTGCTGTTTTAGAGTTTTATCATTCAACTCAGATTAGCCTTTGTTTGTCATTTTAAAAGTAAGTCCCCAGAGTCTTGTTATTTCACCTGCACAAAGTCCAGGTTTTTCCCCCTGTGTTTCATCAACATGTCAGATTTTTTTGTTTGTCATTTATCTCATTATAAATGTATTTTAAAAAGCCCATTGTCAAAAAATCCTTATCACAGGCACTTTTCCTGCTTTGTGCTTTTGAGACGTCTGCTGTCCTGATATGTTGCTGTGATTTTAGCAGAGCACCAAATTCAATCAGAGAAGGTTTTACACTGTTATTACAGGCAATGTTCATACAACATAAACTTAGCAGCACAAAGAGACAGAGACCTTTCCATTACTTCATCAGTGAGTCAAGTATTCTCAGCTGATATTGGCCTGTGTGTTTGTGTGTGTTTCACTGGGACAGAGCCCCCGCTTTACGTTCCCTATCCTGCATCCCTCTGAGGCTCAGGGTGGAAATAACACACTTAATACTAATGAGATCCTCTTCTATTTTCCCTGCAGCCCTTGGGATACCACCATCACTCCAGGAAGTTCCTCTGGAGAGGGGAACTTCCCCTGGAGAGGGTGTGTGTCATTCTCACATGTGAGATCTGAGGAAGCATGACAAAGTAGTTATGGCTGTGTGTTAATTGGTAGTCAGACAGGCAGGTGTAGGTGCATGTGATTGTGTTTAGGCAGCCAATTAAAACATCTAAAAGCAGAGTGCAAGTCCAGAGTTTCTCCTTTTCATGGAGAAGTCGAAGAATAAAAACAACAGTTCCCTCTTTAACTGTCCTATTGAAGTGTGTTTGGTTTAATTAATTTCCTCCACTTGAGAAGATCTGTTTGTGTTGGCACTGTGCACTCAAAACAAATGCAGCAAAAACTTGGGTTGGTCTTCATTACACAACAAAAACCCAACTTCCTCTGGTTGAGAAGGATGGGTTTATGCATACAGATGAGGTGGTGTAACATCTCCCCCTGCTGGTTCAAATGGTTCAATGCATACAGTTTTTCTCTTGATTTAATGCACTTCTGCCAGCTTTGTTCTAGTACTTCGTGCGAAGTAGCAATCACAACCTAAAAGAGGCATTCACTTTGCCCCCCCCCCACAAATGTAAAGGCCATGTACCTGGTTGGCTACCTGGATTAGCATGTAGTAGGGAGGAGTCTAATCTTGAGATCCAGTGCAGTGGTCACAACGTTCAGCTTAACAACAAAGCAACGTTTACATCAGAGATAATGTTTTTAAGGAGTCAGACAGGCCATTTAAAGGAAAGTTCAGTTTGGTTTGGTAGCCTGACTACTTCACAAACTAATGCATTAGAGATAATAGTTAAGGCTGCATCTAAAATGATTGGCCACTCCCTACAGTCTCTCTCTTCAATTTGTAAAGTTGGCCTCCCCAAAAGGCTCTGAGCATTGTCTCACACAGCAGCCCCTCTCTTTGAGGAAATATCCTCTGGGATATTTAACATGTTCTAATGGTTTTATTATTATGATGTGTTGAATATTGTCCTGTCCAGTGGCTCTCTGAGCTCAGCTCATCAAGGGAAATTCCTATTGTTTATTGTAATGGCAATAAAGTTAACCTAAACCAAACCCAACTCAACGTGTCTAAGATGTCTGAGCAGGAAGAATATTGACAAATGTGAATGAAGGGCAAGATATGGAGCAGTAAACAGACTGCCTTAAATATATGCATTTTAATGTTATTTCTCTATCACCACTTAATGTTTCCCTGTCTGAAGTCATGATTTGGTACATTTGATTGTGCTGTTTGCAATCTTAAATGAACACCTTTGTGTCACAGTATTTTCCTTTTTAACACCAGTATGTGATTTTGTTGACTGTATGAATAGTTTTGTACATGTAAAGTATTATGATCATTGTTTCCTTTTTGGATGATGTGATTCATGTCTTACATTTTGCTGAATCTATAGTTTGTTTTTTTTTCTTTTGTCAGATGGAGGGCATGTTTTGTCCCCTACATAAGAGTGTCAGACTGCGTCATCCAGCTCTTCTCTGATTGGTCCAGTCTGAGCAGATTGACTCTCAATCATGCAGATCACGACCACCTGAGTGATGCTTGTGTTTGTGTCTATACATTGCTTGTCCTGCTTTCTGAGGTTAGTTGACAATGCCTGACAAAGATGTCTGTTAGATCCAAACATTGCTCTATGAAATTACATTAGTATGTTTTGTTTTTAATCCAGCAGCTGTAGAAGTGTTTTGGATGTGGATGCTCTACTCTGTCATGGAGAGTCTTAAAACAGAACATTTTTTGAGCGTGCAGATCCTGTTTTTGCTATCCTGTTTTGGTGTATGTGACACCTATTCTCAAAACTAGACCTTCTGTTTCTAACATTGCATCAACATGTAGAACGAACTGATCTTTCTACTGTTGTGTTCACCTGGGAAAAGGGTCAGTTTAGAAAAAAACATCCTCAGATGGAATTTTGTTTGGGGTTCCTTAACGCATTGAAAAATTACATTATTCCAATTCTTCAGGATAACCCACAGAACCGCCTGTCAAAATCATTCATTGGAACAATTTCTTCTGTAGAAAGTAGTTCCAAGGAAAACTGCTCATAAAGAGAGAAAAACGTTTGTTTTGTTTTCAAATGGTACATGAAAAAAAACACAGCCTCTGAATAAATAACAAGATAAATTATCTTTATTTCCACGTCTTGGTCATTTATAAAATTATGTGTCCACAATTAATATTAACAAGGCAATACAGAGAATCCTTTTATTTCTCAGAGGTGGAACTCGGGCTCTAGAGACTGTTTACTTGTCTATACAGACAAAGAAAAGGGGAACTGTTGGTGAGATATTACTAATATGTACCTGATCACTCATTTGCTTTATTTTTTTTTTTTTTTTACAGATGGTAGAGGACTTTAAGTACCATGCTGGAAGAGTTGTCAGAACCAAAAGGATTGTCACGGATCTCTAGAGCCTGCATCCACACCAAGCCCTTCAATGTACAGTCATTAAACTTCATAAGCCAGGATTCCTCGCTGCTTATCGCTCAGTGTAAACCAGACACAGGTCATTCACAAATTCTTGAACATTCTCACACCGGATAACTATCACTGACATGACATCAGCGTCATCATCATTAATTAGCATAAGCATGATTCTTGTCTATCTTAAACATGATAACGTCATTCTTTTTCCCCTACAGTAAAAGACACAAAAACCCCACCAACTGTAAAAACAGGAACAATGAAGAAACAACCTTTCTATTCTACAAAACAATAAATGAGATCCTAGATACCATGTGCTTAAAGAAAAATAAAAAATGGCTTCTCGCAAGTCTGCCTGTTGTTGGTAAATAGGTTTCATTGATGTAAGTTATCAAAAAATTAAATATTATATACTGTATAGGTTATTATTACAGTAACAAGGTTCCATGCGATCATATTCTCATCGTCTGTACAGAGCTGAGGATTCAGTAGTAAATAACAAGGCTATACAGACCTATAGTGCCTGGTGGCCAGAGTGCCAGCATGTTACAGAGCAAAGGAGACCTGGGACAGGGACATGTGGTCTGCTGGTCCGGACAGAGGTGCCACATTCTCAAGACAGTAAAAAAAAATCCTTACAGACTGAAGAAATGGCCGAACAAAAAGGCTGTTTTATGTCAGTTACAAACAAAATCAAGCCATTATTTACTTGGCCCAAAATCCAACTTCTGGTATAAAATGATAAGGAATATTCCACCCTTAAATCTTCTCACATTGTCAGTGGTCATCAGGCCTTTCAGGAGTTTTTTGTGTCTGGTAATGTGTTTTATTACTTTTTAGTGTACTCAGTTTGCTTCATCAACGTTCACTTAAATGAGTGATTCCCTACTGTACATTGCCAAAAATGTCCCCAGACAGCATGTGGAGCTGGAAATATCTGGAGCCGATGATGTCATGCCATCTAAGTCTGGCTAGTTATCCCCTGGAGTAAGTAAGAATCATCACTAAGCAACTAAATAGATGAATACAACTACACACAGTCGTTTAAGCAACAGCAGATTGGTCACTGATGTTGAAGTGTTTAAGGATGGATTTTCCTTTAGATTCTAAACCATGATCTGACACACTGCTGAACACACTGAAATCAGTCCCGCCTTTTGAAATCAGGTCTGGAAGCAAGAAGAGGAAGGAAAAAGAAGAAAGATCTGCACGCTGTATCAATCAACGAGATCTTCAGGCAACAGTTGTCTTGAAGATCGCGTAATGTTGCTTTTTTAAATTCATATGAATTAATAAGAAGCAACTGATGGAGTACACAGATCATATTCCTGTTTTTGATCCAGCACCTTTGGAAAGGTTTTTTTTTTTTTTTTTTAATGTGCACTCTCCTCTATCCTACTGTATGTGGAAGAAACAGGAGACCAAACACACCGCTGACCCGGTCCTCAGAGCACCAGGGCCCGTTGGTTAATTCAGTCAAATACATTACTATCTAGTCATTATAAAAACAATACCCAAGTGAAACGCTAAAGCATTGAGAGAGCAGGAGGAGCTGAGGGAGCAGTGCACAAAGCACAACAAAAAGGCTTTCCTATTAAACATGTCTTAGACCAGGTGGACATTCAGAGTCTTTAAGACCTTAAGTGATCAGAATGAATACCAATATTAGGGCACGTATGAGTGAGAGTAGTTGGTAAAGAGAGTTATTAAAGGTTAGCAGAAACACATTCATTTGGACCACATGCTCAATGTGGATGTGCAGTGGGCTGTATAAGGCATGGATGTTAAATGTGCTTAATTTAGAAACAATTCATAAGCAAGTGAGACAATCAAGCAGTTTAGTTGCCAATCCATAACTTACTTTAACTACATCATCTGTGGGATTCAATGACTAAAAAGCCTATCGAGTCAAATTAGACAAATTAATTCAAGTAAGGCTACACGCACACGCATCTTGGTGCAGGGTTAGAAAAAACTGAAGAAATTAAACGGTAAATCAACAATGACAGTCTGAGACAATTATTCTGCACAAAATGTCATGGAGCTTTATCTTGCTGTTCAGATCGACCTTTAATTTAGATATTTGACGGCTAAAACTCACAGCAGATGGACATTAACGTGAGGCTCAACAGGACCAGCTCAGTGGACCGGCTGACAACTACTCTACTGATATGCTGGTTTGGTTACTGTTTCGACATTTTTATATCCTTTATTTTATTCTTTCTTTGAGCTGACCTCAACTCCTCCAATTAAAAGCCGAAGGAAGCGGCCAAGCAGCGTAAAGCTATTCACACCTTTACGTGGAGCGACATTTCCACACCCTAATTCAAGAGCCCGATAACGTCACGATCCCGGGACCACAGCTACCTCCTCAACAGAGAGCGAGAAAGAGAGACAGAGAGAGAGAGCAAGACGGGCAGAAGGAGAGTAATTCTGCATAAAAAATGATCAATAGGAGTTAGACTTTGTATGGCGTGAGGGGAAAGACGAGGAGTGATGAAGGAGCAGCGCTATGACAAACTGGCCAGAGATACAATTGTGTGGTGCTGACAAGGGCGTGCTCCTGCAGAGCTGGCTGGAATTCAGTGCCAGTAGTGTAGGTGGCAGAAGCCTGGGCAATACCTCGAGATAATGTTTTCGTGGACACACACAGGTACGATGGCTCTTGACACTGGTCATGCCGCTTCGAGAGCCGCCTGTTTCCACCTTCCACATTCTTGCTGATGCTCATCCTTTGCCAGTGTGCACACCGGTCCCTTCTCCACGGCAGGCTTCTCAGTCTCTCTTTCGGTCTCTCTGCTAATTTCAACCCCGCTCCCCACCCACCCACCCACCCACCCAATATTATCAACCTCCGTTCCCCTGTCCTCGCTCTCCTTCTCTCCCCAAAATCCAGTTATTGCACCACTATGTTTGTACTGTACAGTCAAAAAACCAATGAGCAGAAATGTTTAAAAAGCAGAGCCCTGGGCAGTTTTGTCTTCTTTTTTTTTTCTCTTCTGCAGTTGTTTCTCGCTCTTGCAACTATAAGGACAGGCCTGCATCTGCCTTTTCACGCACACAACCACACACACACACACACACACACACACGCGCGCGCGCGCAGTGCTCATTTACACACAAACTCGTACAAAGCCATGCTCGCATGCTCTCTTTCTTGCACACTCTCATGCAAGCCCTGCTCATTTCTAGTGGTGGTTTGTTGGACATGCAGGAGTGGGGAATGAGGACAGGGGAGAGAAAAGGTTTCTAGCTCATAAAGGGAAGAGGGTAGGTGTTTGTCTAAGTGTGTGAGTGTGTTGAGGGAGAGGTCTTAGTTCAGCTGCCATCTCCTCCGATATTTCTTCTCCTCATCACCTGCCGGCATACAAAAAAACCACGTAATTTAGAAGACAAAATAACAAGTGTCATCGGTCTAAAGCTGCAAGTTTCTATTGGAGAGAGAAGAAGAAGGCATGAAGAGGTTGGAAATAGAGTACCTTGTGACAGAAGGTGAGATAAAAAGAATTTAGGCTGAATTAGAAATGCATGAGAAAGAAAAAAGAGCAGAGGAAACTTGTCAGTAAAATCTGATTTTTAACACCACAAGACCATTCATTTATTTTAATAAACTTTACCAACTTTTTCAGACTATTTCATCCATTGAATAAGTGGATGAGCAAGTGTCAACATACCTTCTAGATGATTCCTGGACACATATTTCAGTGCCTCATCCAGGAGGATGACCGGGATGGAAATCTTCAGGACCATGATCCATTGGCACCAGCGCAGAGGGGTCACCTGGAAGATCAGCTGAAGGACAGAGGAAACCAAAAAGTCAGGAAGTCTTCTAATAATAGATCAATGAAACTTTGTAATTTAGTAACTTTTTTCCCCCCACTGTGTGATGGTTTGTACCATTTGGTTGTGCTTTGTCTATTTGCATGCGCCACCGGACTTTTCTCTCGAGGCATGTTTTGCCGTTAGAAACAACACTCGTGTCAACATAATCAAGAAGAATCTACCTTTAAAAGAGATTGTAATGCATTTGGACCATCATGTGTATGAGTATAATTACTCACCGGCAGAGGCTCAACGTGGAGGATTAAGAAGTGGAGGGAGAGGGAGAGGATGATGGCTCCCAGCAGCCAAACATTGACCCAGGGAGGCATCCTGACCAGGGACTGGTTCTCAGACAAACTGGCGGGGGACGTTTCAATAGATCAAGACATGTTAACAATGTAGCTGCTTGACATTAGGGACTTAGATGGAAGTTATTATCATGTTACAAAGATCAAAAGAGAGTCTGTGGCAAGCTCACAGACAATTAACAATTACATACAACTACATTACAATTAAAGAAATAAGCAATAACATTTTATTGGAATGTCTTTGCAACCACGTAAACATGTGTCCCCTCAGTCAGTTTTACTGACCGTCTTGGGATAACATTTTTATTTAGTCGGGCAACTCTTTATTTTAACCTTCCCTTTCTCAGATTCTTTCCTAAATGAGACATTAGCATTTGTTTCTATAGGGAGCTACTGACAGACTTGCTCCATGAGCAAATCTGGCAAAAACGCGGGGAGTTTTCCCTTCATACCACTGTTCCTTTTATTTTCTGCCTCCCCAAATAAGCATTATTCCATTTCATAAGATGTGTGGCTATTAAGCTTGACTCCTTTGCCACATTCACCAAATGCAGAATCTAAAATATATGGCCATTATAACCAGCAACATTAAGTCCTTCAGCAGTGAAAAGAGTTGATGTTTTTGATGGATTTGTTTTTCTGGCATGGGAACTATGCTGTTCTCCCTCACATGGCTGTATAATTCTTTCACAATTGTTTTTATTAAATATCTGAGCTTCTTGACATTTAGGGAGTGTTTGCCCCAACATCACAACAGAGGAGGACTGACCTGTTCAGTGCGTTGAACATTTCGATAGTCACCAGCACAGACAGGGCCATGGTTGTGGGGTAGCGGGATTCAAACACCTCACAGTCTATGTTCTTGAACATGGGGTTGTCCTCAGTACACTGCATGAAGTGTCTCTGTAGAGAGAGACAGGCAGGAGTTAGTGTGTGTGTGTGCGTATGTGTGTCAGCAGGATGTCACCAGGACCTCTGTGACCTGGTTTTTAGCGGAGCTCAGATGTGATAAGGGAACAGCTGCAGAACCTTGGCCTCATTCCCACCCAGAGTGCAATCAAACCACATGGGTCTTACTTGCCTTTCTATTTCTGTACACTGCTGGGATCACCAAACATTACTGTGTCCCAACAGCGGGGAAAGTAAAGGAGACTGGGAGGGGGTGCATTTCAAGATATTATGGAAAACTCCCAATATTCTGATGACAGGACGGTGCTGCAGCAAATAAAGAAGACAGACTGAGCAGAACAGAACGATGTTTTGCAACTCACCAGCTGATAGAAAGACACTTGTGGGCCTTCTTCATCAAAAAGGTACCACCATGTGGCAGCACCCACTGTTCCAAGACCCACATATCCTAAAGGAAAAGCAGTCAGACACATACTGTATGTCAAAAAATTCATACATGCTAACATTAATGTTCAAAATTCGAGACATCTTAACTTATGCTTGCAAACAGCAGGAATTTCATGCTGATGTAAATTTTTTTGGTATGCTAACATTACTTGTATTAGGAGGGGGGGGGGCTAGTGGGCTTTTAACCTTGGGTGCCTGGTTTTGAGTATGTTTCTTTATTTTTTAAATATTCAAATAATTAAAAATTCCACACATAAGCTACCATGACAGTGTAGCAACTTTTGTTCAACCCCCTTACTGTACATGCATCTCAGTTGTAAACTAGAAACCAGTCTATACATGATCGCACTTTGATTCACAGTTTAGGTCAGAGCTAATATTACCTCCAATGGCCAGATATCTGAAGAAGAGCCAGCCAGAGATGAGAGGCTCCTTAGGGTTGCGGGGAGGTTTGTCCATGATGTCCAGGTCCGGGGGGTTAAAGCCCAAGGCAGTGGCAGGCAGGCCATCGGTCACCAGATTAACCCACAGCAGCTGGACTGGAATTAAAGCCTCAGGGAGACCCAGGATGGCTGTCAGGAAGATGCTGGAGATTGGACAGTGAGAAGACACAAACGTCAGCTGAGGACATCAGACTGAAGGCGAAGATAGTCCCACATGGTGGCTGCGACAGAGTATGTTTCCGTTCCTCACCAGACTACTTCTCCCACATTAGAGGAGATGAGGTATCTGATGAACTGCTTCATGTTGTTGTAGATGGCTCTGCCCTCCTCCACGGCAGCCACTATGGTGGAGAAGTTATCATCAGACAGCACCATCTCAGATGCTGACTTGGCCACTGCTGTGCCGGAGCCCATGGCGATGCCAATCTCTGCTTTCTTCAGGGCCGGGGCATCATTCACACCATCTCCTGTCTGCAACAAGGAAACTTCTGTCATTAATGCATCAAATAACCTGACTCACGAGATGGTATATGAATTCCTAATAATGTGAACAAACATTAACTTATGTAACACATAAAAGACCCATCATTTCAATAAGAAGGCTGCAATATTAATTGTAAACAGAGGCAGACTTTGAGGACACTGCAACAGTATTAAGAGCGAGTTTCAAGTAACAGAGGAATATTTTCAGGGGCAGAAAGCTGAATAAAAGAAAGAAAGAAAACGGAGAGAAAAAAAAAATTCAAATAACTTCTTTGGCATGCACAAACCAATGTGGTGTATTAAACATGAAAGAATAACAAAATAGACTTTTTTTTGTCACTGCTCTTGTCTCAACTTATTAAGTCTCAAAATACAGAGCCCATGTTACACTTTTAGGGAAGATTATTCTTTGAACACAGATGGGTCTAACAAACTTACAATGATTGAAAAGGAGCCTCTATCTCATCATGCAAAGTGTAATTATCGTTTTAGATCCAGACAGGATTAATCTAAAGCTGAGCAAGTGAGATATATTAATCTGTCATGGCAGGGCCTAAAGCGGCTTTAGGCTGCGGCGAATGGTGGAGGTAGTCTGACAGGCAAATGGTGATATTGTTGTCTCCCTCCCTCCCACCCTCCCATCTTCCCTTCGGATCAACCCTTCTTCTGAGACCTGATTCAGATAGGAAGCAGCAGAGCGGGCCAGAAATGACAGCTTTTGATAGCAGTGTCTGAGAGAGCAACCTCAGATCTGAAACATGTCACGCCTCACTGGCCTCTTCTCATGCATTCTCCCCAAGTCATTCACATTCACACATTTGATGGAATGAGGGGAAAAAGATTTTTTTTGCTTTGCAACAGACATAAAGAAATACATGACAGAGGAAAAGTGCTATGTGCAGATTTGTAGGAAGCAGAGAAAAATCTAACAGTTGAAGGGGGTGGGGCGGGTGTACAGAATAAGTTGGAAGTTGCATCATCTGTTCTCCTCACCATGGCAGTAATCTCATCGAATGACTGCAAATATCCAACGATCTTGGACTTGTGAGCTGGCTCGACGCGGGCGAAGCATCGCGCCCGTTTTACGGCTTCTCTCTGGGCCTCCGGCGGGAGATCATCAAACTCACGGCCCGTGTAGGCCTTTCCTGTCACGTCCTCATCCTCGCCGAAGATGCCAATTCGTCTGCAGATGGCCACAGCTGTGCCCTTGTTGTCTCCTGTGATCATGATAACACGTATACCTGCCTCGTTGCACAGTTTCACTGAACCGATCACCTCCTTCCTGGGTGGGTCGAGCATGCCCACACAGCCAACAAACGTGAGACCCAACTGAATGGAAACAGAGAACGAAAGAGAGAGAGGATTAGGTTGCACAGGAACTATATCTGAGAAATCTCACTTCAGTTTCACATAAATGCAATTCACCTCACACCCAACACATTACTTTCTACACAACAAAGTTATTGCTCCAAGATAAAGGCTCTATGCTTCAAGTGAATAAAGATAAGATTTAACAACTGCTATGTGTCCAACAGAAGACAGACAGCAGCAAAGATGGCATTAAAGGAATAGTTCGACATTATGAGAAATACGCTTATTTGATTTCTTGCTGAGAGTTAGATGAGCTGATTGGAAATACTCTTGTATCTGTCAGTAAAAAATGAAGCTAAGTAGACAATGGGCAAGACTGGGAAACAGTGAAGAAACAGGCAGCTTGGCCCCTTATTTTTTGGCTTTTAATGAACACCATTGCCCATAATTCCTAGACGAAAGATTTAAATAGAGCCTATTTGAACAACAAGGATTCCCAGGCTAAACATCAGATGTTACCAAGCTCCTCTGCTGTACCTCATACTGTGCAAACTTGTGGGAATTCTCCAAGTCCATGTCCTCTTTGCGTGGCGGGGTGTCATGAGTGGCCAGCGCCAGGCAGCGCAGGGTGTCCCTGCCTGTCCCCCAGTCCCTGATCTTAGACATCAGCTGGTCACGCACGGCTGGTGTCAGTGCCACCTTGCCTGTCCCCACCCGCAGGTAGTGGCACCGCTCAATCACACTCTCTGGAGCGCCCTGTGATTGAGACAAAACAAGAATGTCAATCAAAAATGACAACAAATGGAAGTGATGAAAAAGTACATCTATGTGTGTATTAGTAGTTATTCATGCCTTGATGAACATCTTGCTCTGGGAACCGGGCTTTACAGGGGTGCAGTAGACAGACATGGACTTGCGGTCACGAGAGAACTCCAGAGTGAACTCCTTCTTCATCAACTGCCTGATCACCTGTTGGATGAAAAAGAGGGAGAAAAGAGTAGTAATATTAATAAGAAGAAATTGACCTAAGTAGCTGTGTTTGTGAACAGCTGTCAGCAGGTGGGTGATGACAGAGCTACTGACAGATGAACAGCAACTGGAAGTATACATCCCTATTTTTAAGGGAAACATCTCTCTTCCTTCCATACCATGTATATTTATTGTCAAGTCTTGTTCTACCAGTAGGTGTCCCTCTAGTTCAGAGTCTGTTCTGATCCAGTCCACATGAAAGGCTGAAAGGTTAACATTGATCATGCTCTCTGTCTCGCCAGACAGCTGTGATGTACACACACCCTGACACGGATGTCCTGACACTCTGACACATCTGTCAATGTGACAGACTTCCCCTCTTTATTAAACAGGCAATGGGAGTTTGTCTCAGCATGGTTTGCTGGGAAATTATTCTCCAGCTCCTCCTTCTGTTTTCTTGCTGTGTTCTCCAGCGAGAGATTTGGAAAACTTAAAAATTAGCTGAGATGCATGTTCTTGTTAAGCATTTATCCATTAAGCACGTGCTGAGGTTTGAATCAAAACCAGAAAACATTCAGTCAGACCTCTGCTTCTCTACCCTTCTGACTTCTGTCACTACAAGCTTTGTTCTTCCTGGAAGCGAGACCAACAGGGATTTTAATTACCTTTATCTACAGCGGAGCGAAAAGGCTTGGAACCAGAGGTGACTGACTTCAACGCACTGGGTAACAGGCCCCTCAGCACTGAAACCCCAACATCAGCTTAGTGATCCACTGGCCATTCAGACACCAAAACATACAGGTCTCATGCACAGGTCAGACTCAACACTTTTAACACTGACCTGACATCTTCTTAAAGGAAGTAATTCATTTAGAATAAGCTGCAGTTAGCTTTGTACAAAACTGACCTAAACACCCTGAAGTCAAACACATGTGTCTATCAACAACCTTGTGCTTTGTTTAATTGTGCTAGAGTAAGAAACTGAACCCTGAGCTATAAACTCTCCTGTCACTGTGGATAAAACAACACTTAAATGCAAAATATAATCTGGTACAAATATGGGGCATACTAGGTCATTATGTCGTCTCAACAACCTGGCAATGTACAGTATGGTATACTGAGCAAAGTAAGAAGTGCAAACCCTACCAGCAGATATGCCACTTGTTAAAGCAAACAATATGCTCACCATAGATGAATAAATGAATAAAGATGAGTACCATACATCAACAGGCTTGGTTTAAGCACCTCATATAGCATTGATTGGACATTACAATAGTATGCCACACATTGCAAATCTATAACATTGTTGGACTCACAGCGGACATTTAAAAACAAGGAAAAACAAACAAAGCAAAAAACAACAAAAGGATCAGAATCAATTGAGCAGAACCACAGATATCGCCTCTTTTATTCCACGCGTACTTCTTCCTTGTCAAAACCTGGCGGCTATATTACCCACAATGCAACTCAACCATTAATAGCTTGGTTGGAGATTTGGTTGTATTATGCTAGTGACAGCTGATGTAGCCTCGAGCCGCCAGCCTCAGGCAGCGATAAGGAGCGGGCTACAGAGGTCTGGTAAACTCACTTCTTGAGTCAAGTGAAAGGCAGTTTCAGATTTTGTGCAGCTCCCTCTGCAGACACAAACGGCTTTTTACAGCTTTTTCACATTTGAAGTAGTACTCCCTCAAGACCTGTGAACAGACTTTGATGTGTAAAGTCGGTGGAGTCCCCCCTTTAAAACAGACAAACATCACACCGCAGGGTCTCACACACACACAAACACACTCACACACACACACACATCTCCACATGTTGCTTACCGAGTTGCAGGAACCGGCACGCTCCACCTTGCTGAGTCCAGACAGGTCCGTCTTGAAGACGTTCATCTTCTCCACCAAAGTGGTCAGAGCCGTCTCGGTGGCTTCACCCACCTTCTCATAAACCCCTTTGGCCTACAAGAGGACAGAAATAGATCAAAACATACTTCTGAACTGTTTTTGGAATTAGAAAGTGTTTTATGGATGCGGAATGACAGCAAGCCCCTTTATAATGACACATTTGACACATTCGATCTGAGGAGAAACAGTCATACACCGTCTCCATTGTTAAATGTGAACGACCCTCTTCAAAATGACACAAGAATGACTCCACAACAAATAAGTAAGTTCTTCACCTCCGCCTCCGCAAATGTTGAGTCATACGTGCAAAGTGTGTGCCCTTGCCAGCTCAGATGTGGAGTAGGTGAGATGAAGCATCATTTGTTAGTGTGACTGGGCATAGACGGCAATAAAACACCTAGCTCCTCTCCAGCACTTGCCTCCTCTGCCCCCCACCTCCTCTCTCATGGCTTAGCTTAGCACACTTGATCTCATATTCAGTGTCTTTATTCAAAAACGCACAAAAGTGGTGGCAAAACGACCACTTACGAGAACAGAAACAGTTAGTCTGGATGGATACATGGGAGTCGAGAGGTGCCTTTTCCCTGGCCTCAGCATGGTCACCATGATACCATGGTGATGACAAAGAGGTGAGAAAAGCAAACCAAACCAGAGAAAAAGATCATACATCAGAGTAAAATTAGCTCCGCTGAAGATGAGAGGACTTTCTGCAGTGTGTGTGTTTGTGTATGTGTTCCTGTTCTTCCGTTTATGGAGACATTGCAGTGCGTATATACATACTTTAAATGCATGAGGACATTTGCAAAGAAACACACACAATGCTGTATGTGTTACAGATGGGCTTATTTTGCATAGAAATTATGGTTTTTAAAAATGATGTCAGCTATAGAGGAGGAAATTCTAATTCAAACTGTAACTATACAATTATCTGTGTGTGTGTGTGTGTGTGTGTGTGTGTGTGTGTGTGTGTGTGTGTGTGTGTAATGACCTCATTGTAGTCTAATGAAGAGTCATTGCACATAGAGCACACAGTGGCCAACTCCAAAAGTCCATCATAGTCTCCACACTGGACGGGCCTGTCTCCTTTCAGTCTGGAAGGAAAACACACAGTCACTCACAAAACAAAACACAAGGGAAAAAACACTTCACAGTTCGCTACACCTTAGACACAGTAACCCCATCAATATGTATGAGTGGGGAAGATATTCAGTTGTTTAGCATTCCAAAGTTGACTGAAACAATGGTTGTACAGTAGTAAACAGTGTATTTGTGTATCTGTGCGTGTGCGTGTGCGTGTGTTCCCAACGAGCTGTGCTGATGGCATGACAACCATGGATCCCTTCCCAGTAGAGACTGCAACCGTTGCTAGCGAAGCTCCCACACAATAACCCACACTCTGCTGTTATGAAATAGACAGGTTCGTACAGAGTGCTGTACTCACCAAACAGCAAAATAAACAACACGTATACACAATGGACTGTAGAATCCTGCTCCTACCTAATGACTAGCCACCTACCTATATTGCTAAAACATTCGGATATGGCAGAGATCAAAATGAGCAAACAACTAAAAATCTGACCCTTTGTTCAGTTTATCTACCCAAGTTCACGCCACACTTCAGCACTGTTGTAAGAGGGTGTGTGATGCAATCGGAATACAGTGCAGCTGAAGCTTAGTAGTGTTATGATTTCACATGATTGTTCTAGTCATACTCACACACAACAAAAAGCAACTGATGCATCCAAGATTACTAACTATTTCCCTGGTTATCGCAGAAATTGCCATAGCAACACATAAAGCACAGCTAAAAACATTTTTTGGGAATCATTAGCACTGATGTAATACATCTTGGACCACAGACCACATCACAGTTTGCTTGACTACATCTATTTATAATGCATCTTGTTTTGAAAATTCTGAATTTCATCAAAGCCAGGACGAGGGAAAGAGGGTGGTAGTATAACTTTTTGAGTTTAGTGTGAGTACATTTTTCATATAATAAAAAGGTATCATAGTGGTCAGACTTTCCCCAATAAGAGTATTACATCTTTCAACTGTGACACTCACATTTGTCCCTCTGGGGCATATGTAGAACCAGTTATAGAGAACTCATGAAGGGTGCAGGTTGAATCTTCCACCTTGTCTGCAACAAACATCTGGGGAGGAAAAATGGCAAACACAAACAGAGGCAGTATAGTTAGTTATTTGGGCAAAACTGCAGAGTAGATAGTGACAGTAATAACCACAGTAAATATTTATTTTAAAGCTAACTTTCCCTTGACTCTGTACCCTCCAGTGGATTCACAATTGAAGCATGTTGTTTGGGGAAACTTTTTTCAGATCCATACAAATATGGTTTCTCTTGGTTGTCATCATCAAGTTCAACTCTTCCATTATACATGTAAACATATCCGTAATTTATATAGTAAAATATTAAAGACTGGTACTTCACATGGGGAAAAGTGATGCAGAGGATATCTGGAATATTTCCACTCTGTGTAATGGAGCACCGTGCACCTTTAACACTATGGCATTTTGAGTTGTATATTTCACTCAGTAAGTACTTTAGTGTATCTTTTAGCTTCAATTAAGTGTCAGAAGAAACATATACATGAAGTATATGACATGTTCATAGTGTGTAGGAAAACTTTTTGTCTATATAACTGCCCCTTAAAATGACTTCTAGTGAGGCTATGTGAGTTTCGCATGGCAGTCAATGTGGCTACAACAATTATAGACTGATAATAAAAACATAGTATAACAGTAGCAAAAGTACAGAATAGTCTTAATGTCTATGGACTAGGACAGGTTTCACAGCAATATCTATCAAGTTTGCTAATGTTAGCCAACATAAGCTACCAACAACTTTTGATACTTAGTCTATAGTAGAGAAAATGTGTTTTATTGCTTATCAATTCAACTGTTTAATTTATAAAAGAAACAATGGATTATTTATCATTTTAAAAGTTACATTAGTCCTACGTTAAGGAGTTATAGGGAGAGTAAGTGATTCTGCAGAACGATTGTTCATATTTGAACTCAGCCACCAAACAAATACAGCCCACTCTCTTCAGTGCTCCCTCAGAAGCTCCGCCCCCCACATTTCAAAAATCTCTGAGGTTTCTCCAGCGTTAAAACATCTTAGCACTTTCCTGGTCATATAGCTTTCTTCTCTGTTTATACTTCAGACCTTTCCCTATTTGGCTGTTTCTTGGCCATCTCTCCTTCTTCACAGTGCCTGGAGTACAGCACATTCAGATGTGCCGGAGTATAGAACTCTCTCTTCCGCTGTCCCCCTCCCCCCATCACTCCTCTGCACGAGCACTTACTGTTAGCCGATTGGCTGGAAAAACGTTATGTGGCAAGGCCCACACCACTTTCTCTGTTTTCCCATTTACAGAGCCAGGTCTGTGTGGCAAACCGGATTTTATTTCAGAGCACACGGAAACATAGAGCTAGCAAACCGTGAGGAAGTATTCACTGAATTTAACAAAATGTGTCTTGGATTACAATCTCAAAATTTTGATTTAACAGGTTAATCATCCAGTGTTTCATTTTATGAAAACTGGTTTTAATGGGCTGCTCTGAGGTGCCTGCATGTCCTTGAGTTCCATGTGCCCACAGAGGTAACATAACACCTTTGTTGTCACAGTATGCCAGCATGTAGCGATAGTGATGCTGAGAGATGTAGTGGTGATGTTCGTATATGTCCTGAGCAGTCAAATTCGGTATCTTCCCATTCACACACAGCCCCATGGTGTCAAAACATACTAGAGTCACGGCTGCACCTTGTGCAAATACAAAGGAGCAGGATGCTGCGGACTAAACACCAACTATTCTTGCCTTACACATATTGACTTCCTCCAGATAAATAAAAGGTTGTAAAACAGTTTGAAAATCAAATGGTGGCTATAAACAGGAACTACTCTGCAAGCTAAAAAAAGAATCACAAGAGAGGTGGAGTCAAGAAATGCACACGTCTTGATGTAAAGCTTCATCAGTCACTCACACTGCCATACATGCTCCAGTCAACTGCTTGAAAGCAAAGCATAAGTTACAGATAGGAGAAATAGTCCTAGAGCTGTCCAAGAATTTGCATTGTTGGCAATTTTTTTTCATGAAATCCCCCCAGGAAGGGCGCTTCACGATGCACTGGTAATACTAATATATTGATAAAAACAAGGAGGAAGTGTTGTTGCTGGTGGTTTATAAGAATGATATACAAGACTATTCACAGTCCAAGACCTCTCTGTGCATCTAAACTCCTTACCTGAATGACAAACAAATTTACAATATGCTAAAAGACTGCCCTTGACCCCTATTCCTTTATTAATATTCAACTTTTTTAATAACTTGACACCTAAGTTCAGCAAACAGACATACGCACAGTGAAAACACCCCCACAACCAAGCTTAACTCTGTTTGAGACTCCATTAAATCTGACTGATTGAAGAATTAATGAAGCGGCCATTTGGTTAAACTCGTCTTGATTCTTCTGTCAGTGATTGTGTGTGTATGTGTGTGCTACGACTTACCAGCAACCACCAATTTAAAAACGGAACACAAAATCGATGGCAGACTTCAGATGAGACGTAGCGGTTGTCCCTTTAGAACATGAGCCTTAAAGGTACGTTTAGCCTTTTAATGGAGTAATTATTCTTTAACAACTCTCTACGGCAACAGGGTAACTACATTTAGTCCGATGATGTAGTCTAGCCTGGACATGATGAAAGTCAGTTATAAATAACTGGCTTACTGAATGATGATTATAGCCTCTGTGAGATTACAGCTTATGTGAGAACATGCAATTTTGCATTTGTAATTTTGGACAACAGTGTTGACATTTTCATTCTTTTAAACAGCACTAGAATTAACATGCATATTAAAAGTTGTAGTTTTATGAGTTTCATTCACCTGTACACCTGTATATGTTGTTTTGAATCCGAAAAATTCTGCTTTGAGGACAAATTGTGGGCATAACAGTTGTGTAAAAAAGGTCTTTACTTACACCATATTAGACGCAAGGATTTTCATTCTGTAATTTTTTAATTTACAGAATTACTAAAGAATTTATTCCTTTTAGTAGTTTTCATGGAGTCCGCCATTCCATTTGCCTACTTAGGCACAGAAAATGATGCATGCATGTAACCCAGTATTACGGTTTATCTCATTTAGATCAACCTCACTGTTTTCTCTTCATTCTCCTACAGTACCAGATATGTATTAAGTTACTAAACTGAAACTGGGATGGGCCTAAATGCAATTCCTGCCAGTATGATTAAAATGTTTATGTTTTATAAACTAAAATTTAGAGTAAAATTTATTATTTATACACCAAAAACCAACTGTCCACTTATGTATTATAATAAAACTGACATTTAACAAATATATAACCATAAATAACCATGCAAAAGTGCATATTACAGCATTAAATGGCAACTTTTGACTGCTTTGCAGGTTTTCACATGATAAGATGAAGTACAATACTCACGTATTGTAAGGAAATCAGTTTTAACTAGATCTATATAATCTGTTACATTTGGATGTTGATCTGTTTTAACCGATATATTATTCAATATGAAGTTAGATACATGTAACTACAGTTATAAATACTACTGTGCTCTATTTGTTCTTAAAATATGTGTTTTATTGTTAATTTTCAATAATTGAGCTTAAATACATGGTATAACATGACATACAAACATAATATTCCCTTTTGTCAGGTGTGGCATTTCCTCCTTTGTTGCATGGTGTCCACCACAGTGGACACTTCAATAATTTAAAAATAAAAATAGAATTTTGAAAATATGTGAAAGTATTTCAATTGCAGCCACAATTTGGAGTGATAAAAAGAACTTAAAAAATCTAGATAATAATTTTAATAATTCATCCATGAACGCAGAACTTTTTAATAGCTACCGTTCTGCTTAATTCTTAATTACACAACAGATCATCAGGCACCCTATTCTGTATCAAATCAACAATGACTACTCAGGGACCCAGTAATGTTCACAAAAGCACATACAGCACACACAGAGCAAGGCCTAAGGAATAAAATGAGATTGTCCTTTCTTCTGTGGTCAGTTTTCCCTCACGATCTGATCCACTGTGGTCTCCAAGGAAACAAGGCACAGTGTGATCCATGTGACTCAGTGATATCACCACAAGTTTGTACTCTTCTACTCACTTCCTCTGTGCTTGTGTGGGGATGAATGGTGAGTAACCCCTTTTATGTGTGTATGTCTCCTCATGTATGCATGTGCAAAGGGAAAAGGAAAGTACAGTGTCAGGAAACTGAGGGGAATCCCTGGAAATCCTGTGGATATGGGGATACCCCCAGACATAGGGAGACACATGGCGCTGTCAGGGCCACTGGCTGGAGACCAGTCCGAGAATAAAGCACAGATGGATAAGCCTGGGCAAACATTCATGTGGGCATTCGACCGTGACTTTTAAAAAACATAAAACAGAGGTCGCAGCATACAACAAACATGAGAAGAGCCATGTGACCACAAAGATTTCTGTCTCCAGGAAGCACTATGAGAGAAAAAAAAACACTGATAAAGGGGAAGTTTGATTTTTCTTTGTGAGAATTTGAGTGTGTACGTGCCCCCTTATCTTCCACCAGAGAGCTGAGAACAGCAGGCCAGGGAGTATAGGTGGAAGCAGAAGGTCAATATTTACCAGAGTCAGCCTGCCTGCTCTTTTTTTTTTTCATTCAGGGTTGTGGTGAGATCACTCCTCCATGCCCCTCCTGCTAGAGGGAACTCCCTGCTGCTACGCATTTATCATACAGCACTCCACGTCATCTTGGGGAGCAAGGGGAGGGAGTGTCTGCCATACAGGATATGCATAGCCCTCCGATGCAAACTCCATTTTAAAAAAGCAAGAAAATACAATGCATATGCAGACACAAAGAGCATATTTTCTCCTGGCTTTTCATGACTGGAGTAAGTGATGGCCAAACACAGCCAAAGCACAACATACACACTGCAGGACAATCAGCTTCTGCATTAACTACAGTCATTAAATATCTCAACTAGATGACTTTGTAACCCATTATCCCCTCATGTGTGGCCACATTGAATACGGTTCAACAAAAGTTACATAACGCACACACACACACACACTTTAGGAAGTAGCATGTGTCAGTTTTCCAGTAAAGCTCAGACATTTTTAGACAAATGTTTTAGGGACTATTTGAAGGGTTAGAAAATGATTATCTTTTATCACTTCTGTCAAGTTGGCTACAGAATGTTTATTGTTGGTACAGGAGGGGAAAAGAGGATTTCATGTATTTCTATAAATTTGTCTTTGAAGCAAAAATTAATAAATAATTTTTGAATTTTTTTTTAGAGTTTTTAAGACTTGACATTCATTTAATGGCATATCAAACTGCTGCCGGTGTTCTCTCTGTATTAGGAGCTGTTGAGGTCGACTGCATTTTGTATTGGGTCTAACTATCCCAGAGTGTATTCGTACTGGGTCTCTTTGTTTTTTTTATTCATTTATTTATGCACATCAGGTTCTACTGATGAGGTCCAAGAAGACCTATGAAGACCTCTACTGCAGACTTCAAGAAACCTATTTACGAAAGATAAATTCCTGGTCCCCCCCCCCCCCACACACACACACACAGTGGTCATTTTTTGTGCCTTCTCAATCTAATACTTTGTGATTAATGAATGACAATAAAAAAATTATACCTTTCTATAATCAATGAACTAATGCATGACATCCAGACTTTCTATTGAAAACCCTGACTAAGCTGCCGAGACTGTCCACTGACACTAGTCTGGACATGGCTTCATTGCTGCCCTACTCATAATGGCCACTGCCTCTGAGGTCATGAGCTGGGGTGAGAGGTGAGATGGAGGATGTTAGGACAATAGGTGTTAACTGAGATTAGGTGTGTGTGCAGATCTAGAGCATTTAACAGAAGCCAAGACAAACAGCAGTGCTGGCATTTATTCTTTGCTGGAAGCAAACATTGCTAGCCAGCAACACGCACACGCACACGCACAGGAAAGGGTGGGGTTATGTGCTACTCATGAAGTTGTCGTTAAGACAGAAAGTGTTTGTTGTCTAATGTAATCATTGACCATTTATAAACTGAACCCTACAAGACAGTTCAGGATATGGAACACTATTGTGTTTATTCGGGTGATGTGACATTTTGGACACCTTCACTGCGTATGTGTGAGTTGATCTGATGATATTCTGCAGCGCTCTGGGTGCTGCTGGGTCACGCAACCTGAACTACTCCACCAGTAGCCATCTCAAACCTGCCAAATAGAGGTAAACAACACCACTAGGATTGTTAAGCCCCTCTTGTATGAAAAAAGAGATTGGGATCAATCATCAATAGCTAATCAACAGCAAACCCTTGTAGAATCCACCTCCTTAACACTTTTTTTAAATGGAAATTTGAGGAGCTTTATATGAAGTGTTGCAAATAACAGAATGTGGAAATTAAATACTTAGGATTCAGTTTCTCCTCTAAACCAATTCAGCTTTGTCGGTCTATAAGATCAACTGTATCCCCAGCAGTCAAATCCTCACATTCAAACAAAAAAATTTTTTTGTTTCCTGATTGCCACTTACCCTGCACACAGACATTTGGTTGGTGGTGAGGGTGCCCGTCTTGTCAGAGCAGATCACAGAGGTACAGCCCAGGGTCTCTACTGAGGGCAGGCTGCGAACGATGGCATTCTTCTTGGCCATGCGACGCGTGCCGAGGGCGAGGCAGGTGGTGATGACAGCAGGCAGGCCCTCGGGGATGGCCGCCACAGCCAGGGCCACGGCGATCTTAAAGTAATAGATAGCCCCCCTGACCCAAGAGCCACCGTGGACGGGGTCTCCGAAGTGGCCAATGTTGATGACCCACACAGCCACGCAGATCAGGGAGATCACCTTGGAGAGCTGCTGGCCGAACTCGTCTAGCTTCTGCTGCAGCGGCGTTTTCTCTTGCTCTGTAGATGCCATCTGATTACGGATCTTTCCGATCTCTGTGGCAACGCCAGTAGCAACGACAACACCTATGGCGCGGCCTGCAGCAATGTTTGTGCCCTGAGCAAAAAAAAAAAAAAGATGAGAAAAATGAGTGCAGGGGAGTGCATAAAAGCTCTGTCAAATTCAATATTCTGACCAAATCGCTTATAAAATCATTTCAGACCCAGAGAAGAGGGCTTCCATCAAATTGAGCATATTATATACAGTGGGTATGGAAAGTATTCAGACACCTTTAAATTTTTCACTCTTTGTTTCATTGCAGCCATTTTCCAAAAATCAAAAAAGTTCATTTTATTTCTCAGTAATGTACACTCAGCACCCCATCTTGACAGAAAAAAACAGAAATGTAGAAATTTTTGCAAATTTATTAAAAAGAAAAACTGAAATATCACATGGTCATAAGTATTCAGACCCTTTGCCGTGACACTCATATTTAACTCAGGTGCTGTCTATTTCTTCTGATCATCCTTGAGATGGTTCTACACCTTCATTTGAGTCCAGCTGTGTTTGATTATACTGATTGGACTTGATTAGGAAAGCCACACACCTGTCTATATAAGACCTTACAGCTCACAGTGCATGTCAGAGCAAATGAGAATCATGAGGTCAAAGGAACTGCCTGAAGAGCTCAGAGACAGAATTGTGGCAAGGCACAGATCTGGCCAAGGTTACAAAAAAATTTCTGCTGCACTTAAGGTTCCTAAGAGCACAGTGGCCTCCATAATCCTCAAATGGAAGACGTTTGGGACGACCAGAACCCTTCCTAGAGCTGGCCGTCCGGCCAAACTGAGCTATCGGGGGAGAAGAGCCTTGGTGAGAGAGGTAAAGAAGAACCCAAAGGTCACTGTGGCTGAGCTCCAGAGATGCAGTCGGGAGATGGGAGAAAGTTGTAGTAAGTCAACCATCACTGCAGCAATCCACCAGTCGGGGCTTTATGGCAGAGTGGCCCGACGGAAGCCTCTCCTCAGTGCAAGACACATGAAAGCCCGCATGGAGTTTGCTAAAAAACACCTGAAGGACTCCAAGATGGTGATAAATAAGATCCTCTGGTCTGATGAGACCAAGATAGAACTTTTTGGCCTTAATTCTAAGCGGTATGTGTGGAGAACACCAGGCACTGCTCATCACCTGTCCAATACAGTCTCAACAGTGAAGCATGGTGGTGGCAGCATCGTGCTGTGGGGGTGTTTTTCAGCTGCAGGGACAGGACGACTGGTTGCAATCGAGGGAAAGATGAATGCAGCCAAGTACAGGGATATCCTGGACGAAAACCTTTTCCAGAGTGCTCTGGACCTCAGACTGGGCCGAAGGTTTACCTTCCAACAAGACAATGACCCTAAGCACACCGCTAAAATAACGAAGGAGTGGCTTCACAACAACTCCGTGGCTGTTCTTGAATGGCCCAGCCAGAGCCCTGACTTAAACCCAATTGAGCGTCTCTGGAGAGACCTGAAAATGGCTGTCCACCAACGTTTACCATCCAACCTGACAAAACTGGAGAGGATCTGCAAGGAGGAATGGCAGAGGATACCCAAATCCAGATGTGAAAAACTTGTTGCATCTTTCCCAAAACGACTCATGGCTGTATTAGATCAAAAGGGTGCTTCTACTAAATACTGAGCAAAGGGTCTGAATACTTATGACCATGTGATATTTCAGTTTTTCTTTTTTAATAAATTTGCAAAAATTTCTACATTTCTGTTTTTTTCTGTCAAGATGGGGTGCTGAGTGTACATTACTGAGAAATAAAATGAACTTTTTTGATTTTTGGAAAATGGCTGCAATGAAACAAAGAGTGAAAAATTTAAAGGGGTCTGAATACTTTCCGTACCCACTGTATGTTCATGTACTTATGCAAGTTGCTTACAGAAAACAGCATGTTCTTTTTATCTTGGTTGACAGCTCTGGGGTCAGGAACAGGGTCAGTGTGTTTGATGATGGATACAGACTCCCCTAAAGAAAACAGATTGTATGAGACATTTGTACCGGATTAGGTCTGTAGGCGTGACAGGTGATTATTCTACCAACATCGGGACGTTTTGACAGTAACAGAGCTGAACAAAGTTACACTCACAGCCTAAAGGGGAGAAAAGTACTATCACAGACAACATAACAGAGCCTAAAATTACCTGTAACCTTAGGTCTTCTAAGTTCATGCAATAAAAAGGTGTAAGGGAGCATACTCTATCTGAATTATGAGGAAACCTGGTGAAAGATAAGAAATACCTGTGAGGATGGACTGATCCACTCGCAGGGTGGTGGACTTTATAGAGGTCACTCTGATGTCAGCAGGCACCTTGTCACCAACTAACAAAAATAAACAAACAACAAAAACAGCAGCATGGGATTACCAAACACTGAATATATAAACATATTAAAGAAGGCAAGAGTCTACAGCCATGCTGGCAGCTCTGTGAGGCTATACTTGGGCACAGCATTGCTTTAAGCTAAATGCTAACATCTGTACTATATGCTAAAATGCTCGCAATGACAGTGCTAACATACTGATGTTTAGCAGGTAAAATGTTCACCATGTTCACCATCTAGTTTAGCCTCTTGGTATGCTAACATTTTCTAATTAGCACTACTCAAAGTACAATTAAGGATGTGATAATGTTATTTGTTTTGCAGGTCATAAACTAAGTATCTAACAAATAGGAACCATGAATGTCTGTACAAAATGTTATGCCAATCCATCAAGTAAGCTGTCAAGGTATTTCACTGAGTAAGCGAAAACAATTAATACAACTACTTGTGGCGCTCCAGGAAAAGTCAGAAGGACTTTGAGGACCATGAATTTCCATGGCAATCCATCCAAGAGGTGTTGCGATATTTCAGTCTGGGCCAAAGTGGCGGACTGACTATACATAAACAGGACAGCAATGAGAACAAGATGTTCTACTAAGAAGTTTGCCCTCTGAAGGTTTGGCTTGTGTTTGGAAAGTATTCTTGTGCCTAACTGTAGTGTGTCAGTGTAGCTACGGGTAAAAAATTACAGTGTAGCTCAGTAGCACACTATCGAATGTCTGTGTTCAAACAATAAATCCTTGAGCAAAGAAACATCAACCCAAGCTCAGGCTGCAGCCGCAGGTAAACAACGGTTCAATATAACCTTGATGGAGTCACGTTGCCGTTTTAAAATGATCGATTTTTTTTCCCCCCTCCCTTTTGTTCTCTCTGCAGTCTCTCTGTTCCTCCGGTACACGGCGTCCTTCCATATATCAGACATAAACTACAGACGAAGCCTGCATTAAATCATCAAAATGCATTTCATCTTTACTACAGTCTTACAGTCTCTACTTATTAGGCCTGCATATTAAACGTGTATTTCATAACCAGAGCATTACAAGTATCTGTAATGCCCATTAACAAAATGGTTATTCTTCCTTTTTGTCAGAGCCCAACAATGAACATTTCATGGAAATAATTTCACAATTGCAGAACAGAGCTAGCTTGTCAAAAACGGATCGTTTGATGTAGTCAGTGACAATGATCTCAGGGCAGAGTGGGAATTGCTCCAAGCACTCCAGCCAGACATAATATTCTTCACTCGTTTCTTTCCAGCATGACAGGCACAAAGGCCTGATCATTACTTTGTGTAATAAGCGTCTCATTAATGCCAACTCAAGAGTCCTCAGCCATCAAGGCTTCTCAACATTAATCGCAACAAAAACAATGATTTCCTGTGAATCTACCGTGGCTTTTCAACGCGAACAAGGTTGGACATCTTCTTGAGTCTTCCCAGTGAAAACTTTTCAAAGTGCTATCACGCTGATATGCCACCGAGTGTTCATTTCTTCATGTTTCTCCTTTTCTCTCAGAGCTCCATCATCTCCTCTTGACATTTGCTCAATGTTCTGAGACTCAAGGGAAATTTTTCACAGTCTCTTTCCTGACAGGACAGAGATGGTGAGAGAGATAAAGATGCCATAATATGTGCAGCTGAAGAGCCTGTACTTCTATGTCCATATATATCTCAACATTTCGTCATCAAATTATAAGGTCAAAAATGGCATGGTCAGAAATCTTTAGGAAAACTGAGCATGCCCTTGATCCCATGCAGTTTGCGTCTAGGCCGCACAGAGGAGTTGAAGATGCCGCAGTCACTTTGTTAAAGTTACTTTTTAAACACAGGTTTCATGCTTGACTTCCATTTGTTGATTTTTCCTCTGCTTTTAACACAGTTCAACCCCATATTTTAACCGGTAGGCTTTAAAAACAATTAATTATACTTTTCCTCTTGATATGGTCAAATCCATTAAGGGTTAGGCAGTGGAATTTGTGCAATCTTACAATTATTGTTAGGCAATTATTGACTCAAAACTGAACTTTGAAGCAAACTGTGAAGCCATGTGCAAAATAAGGATCCAGCATTTTTGTAAGCATATTGTCCGATTTCCACACCGACAAAACCATGATAACCCTGATTCTATCCTGCTTTTATCCAATCAATTTGTTCTTTTTCTTTGGGGTCATGGTTTGGAAACTCATCTTTAAAGTACACTAACTATATGAATCAAATTGTTAAATGCTTTGGTAGGCCGATTGGTGAGTTGTAGCTTAACCCAGCATCCATGTACACCAGACAGTTACAGCGGATAATCAGCTCAATTTTAAATGATGACTCCCACACTGAATTTCAGCTCTTCCTTCTGGACAGAGGTTCATAGTCCCAAGGTGTAGAACAAAGTGGTATAAAAATAGCTTTGTATAAGCAGCCATAACTCAGATGAACAAGTCGTAGTCCATTATTCTAGTGGTAATTTGTTTTATTGTTATTTTTCTCTTTTGAACTACTGATAGACTACTGATTACTGATATACTACTGATTATACTACTGATTACTGTCTACTGTCTGTGTTGTTTGTAAAATATGTGTCAAGATGGATGCCTTGTCTACTGTAAACCATATCTACCTACGGGTACAAATAAAGAAAACTGAACCTGATCCGACAACCATGGGTTGTGAGAGAACAAGAGTGGGTGAGGCGGAGGGGGAGAGAAATGTGTTATGTGTTTGTGTGGGAGATGGCTGGGGGCTACAGGTCTACTGTAGCAGGACTGGCCGAGGGCAGAAAAGAGAGGCTTTTCAAACGCCTACCCACAGGCTCCTGTTCCCCTATTGAACCTCCACTTTCTGCCACGGCCTCCCACAGACACACTCCATTAAGCTGGAAGAGAAATTTAAATCATAACAGCCACATTGAGTTCAGATAAGCTTTCTTTTAAATATCACGAAGATGAGGAACTTGTCTGACTATTATCCGTAGTGCTTTAAGTTTTAATAAGCAAGGGAAATTATTTTAAAAATTGCCATGGAACTCAGAACTCATGAATTAACTGGAACGTAGCACACATGCACATTTGATCAAAACAAATGGAGGTGGTCAGCTGGTCTGGCCAGCCGGAGCCCTCCTTCCATTTGGTAAAACTGGACTCCAAACAAAATCTGAATGTCTTGCATAATATACTGGCAAAGAGGTCTGCAGGATAACCGTGACTTGTTATTGGGAATGGCTCGGTGCAGGTTTCCATCTCTTCAGGTCCTGTGTAAACCCTCTAGGAGTTTCTGACAACCTGACCGCGGCACTCAAAACCCAGGAAAGTTCCAGTGGAGGCGCAAATCACAACTGTGTCGTAACTGTGGCTGGCATTGCCGACAAAGTACCTACAAGAAGGCAGGCGGGCAGCAGCGGTGGAAACTTGAGTAAATATAATTACGTTCTTTTCTCTCTTCAAACGGGACTTTGAGGAGCAGTGTCATTTCCGATACCTCCATACAGTTTATTTTACCCCATAGAACAACCACAGGCTAATATGAAGTACAGAAAGTCTGGGAAATCAACAGGGAAAAGAACCCATTAGTTTGTTTTTGTTGTCACCATATCCCTGCATGTTTTAGTCAGAAGGGTGTGCTTGAAGATCTCTGACACACATTTTCTAAGTGAGAAGAGAGTGTGGTGCAGAACCTACCCCAGTTGTTTACCCCTGTTTAAAACTGCTTAGCAACAACATTATGTCCGACAGAGTGAAAAGCTTAATATATGAGTGTGTATATTTTACAAAAATGCAGCAGGGTTGCGTAACACCACTATCATATCTCTTCTTAAAGTAAACTTTGACAGAAAATGCATTCTGTATTTAAAACAAGCTGGATTCCACCTTCAACTAGTGCCTCATCCTCAACAGAGAGTTTTACACACATCTTGATCACGCCACCACTACTGGCTGCAAAAGAAAATATCCTCACCTTCTATGCCATGTACTGTGCTTACGGACAACGATGAAGAACACAAAAAAAGAGAATGCACAATATCTACAATAACAGAGACTAATGTAATGGTTAAAATGCCTTTTCTCCATCATCATAAACCTACTCTACAAATAAAAGATGAATAAACGGAGCTTAGGTGGATTTACTCCCCATTATGTCTGAACTACAGTTTAAGGTGAATTTTCTAAGCTTGTATTTTACCAGTTAATTTGTCAGGGACAATGCTCATCTTTCCCCACAATGGAAGAACCAACATGGATCCAGCAGCAGCTGCTGACAGCCAGCAATAATGTGAAATCCCTCGCAGCAGATGGTTCATTTTAAGTCGTATCAGCCTCTGCTCCACACTGTCATCACAGGTGTCGTTAAAACCTCAACCCCTTGTGAACTTTGTCACAATGTCGCAAAGATGAGCCAAACGGTGCATGGAGCATTGCCATGGTGACGCTGTTGGTGTTGACAGTGATGGTGGGTGGGGACACTGGCTATAACAAGCCCAAATTCCAAGGAAGTCTCTCTCTCTCTCTCTCTCTCACACACACACACACACACACACACACACCTCATTTTCCCATGAAAGTAATGCAAACTAAAAGGGGAAACAATTTAATAAATTTGAGGGGAGCCGGTGTAAGAAGCCCTCAGTGGTTTCATTTTTGAAATTGAATAGCACCGAGGCTTCACTGTAACCAACGCAGCATGTATAATCCCTTTCCTTGCTTCTCCGTGCTGTGATTATGAATGAATGCTGTGATCTCTCACACACACCCCGAGCTCTCCCTCCTTTCCCGCACATCACTCCGAACCGTCTGGGCAGAATCACCAGCCGAGGATTACACTCACAAAACCAGCCATGTTGACGGTGAAGTGATCTCCTTGTGCGCTCGCACATTAACTCTGGCATACACAGATGTTCTGGAACCGGAGTGACAACAGGACTATTTTTAGACGAGGCTGCCCACACATGGGCGAGTTTACAGGAGGGGAATTGTGTGTATGTGCATGTAACGTGGGGGAGTGTGAGTGAGGAGCTGACAAACATCCAGCAGCGTCCAGGTGGTGAGACTGAGAGCATGGAAAGCAAAAGGGAAACGGCGGGGAAAGCTGCGGAAAATTAAACTGGGCCTTAAATTCAAGGGGTGACCACAGCCACTTACACAGAACCTCACACACACACACACACACACACACACACACAAACAAGACACAACTGGGTAGCAGCCCTGGCACCTGCACATCCAGAGAAAAGACTCTTATGTAATCTAGTTTGAGATATTCCAATAGTGTTTCCAGACTCATGAATGGGTGGGCAGAGGCTGAGTTTCTGCGCATGTCGGTAGCAACGGTAGAATACAGCTAGATGACAACAGTGAGAGTCCTCTGGAGGTAGACAAAGCATAAATTAATCTCAGCAGTGACAGTAAGGGTTTCGCTGGGTGCAGCCGCAGCTTACCTGCCACCTCCACTATGTCTCCTGGGACGATGTCTCTGGCTTTGATCCTCTGGACAGCCTTGCGGTTCATGCGGTACACCTTCCCCATCTCTGGTTCATACTCTTTCAGAGCCTCAATGGCATTCTCAGCATTCCTCTCCTATGTAGAGAGAAGTGGAAAAGAGAAAGTCAGTCCAACGACAACTTTCTTAATTTCTTGGTAAATTGATGTTTACAATAAATGTAGTTACGTTAACACGTTATTCTGTGTTACGGCATCATGGCAAAATTTGCAAGGATTATATTTTTAACCACCAATGTGTACAGAAATGTTGGTAACACTGAAGAGTTCAAGTGAACATAAGTTGACGCTTGCATCAAAAAAGTCTGCTTCTTCTTCAGCACAAATGTGACAGTGTCGAAGCCTCATCTCATCGCAAAGTGCTATTCGAACGTACAGATGTTGGCACCTGGTGTCAAGTTGAATAGAGCACATGGCTTAAAAGATAATAAAGGTGAATGAATCTCGTAACAGCCGGTGGACAGGATAATATTTTCTGACTTTACGGTTTTCTTAGCTATTGTTAACCTTTGTACCAGTGTGGACACCTTGTGGAAAGAAATGTTACTGGTGTGTACTGTATGTACACTTTACACAGAGACACCGGTGAAGAGTGTATCTCACCTGCCAGACCCCGATGACAGCGTTGGCGATGAGGATAAGAAGAATAACGATAGGCTCAACAAAGGCGGTGGTTGTCTCCTCTCCCTCCTCAAACAGAGCCAACACCTAGATGAACACACAATAACATTAGCAGACATATTCTACTGTAACTCATCAAGTCCCATGGGAGCTCAGTTATATACACATTTGCAGGGATAGCTTACTCTGAAACATGTTTGGGGGAAACTGCTTGAATGTTGTTGCAATAAAATATGGAGAAAGAAAAGCAAACTCAAATGGTATTTGGACAGAGGTGTTGCTGCTCAGTTCCAGTGAGTTGTGCTACCTTTGGCAGTAATACCGTCATTGACACCACCCACCACGTTCCAAATGTGTTCATCTATCTATCCATTTATCCTTTTTTTCTAATTAATTTTAATTGAGCGACACTCTTTTAAGAACCCCTTGGCAGCTGCAGAAGTACGGTATTCCTTAAGGTACAAGTACCTCTGTATATAGTCTATAGACTGCAGTAAGTCTCTATCACATGCTCTTGGCTGTTGATGTCAAAGTGTGTCTGAAATCAAGAGAGATCCACTCATGGCCTGCTCTATTCACAACCCTAACACTCACAGAGAAAGGCTGGGAAATGGTCAGAGGCTCCAGGTCTGTCCCTCTGCAGCAAATACAGTTAGAGGCTGAAAACTGCAAGAGCAAGATACTACAGCACCCAATGAAAACACGAGAAATTTCCCAGCACGAAAAGCTGGTGATTGTTTTTTTTTCCCCAAACAGTGACTGTGGGCATTAAAAGCAAATCCAATTAAATGATGCAGTTCTAATTTGTCTAATATGCATTCCTCTATCCACTCAGCAGAATGTGTTTTTCATTTTAGTTTGCAAGTTCTCTTGCAAAGTAATGACAACACACTTATATGTTTTTATATACATTTATTTATTGAGTTACAGCAAGATGATGCCTACAATGAGACAGGCAATAAAAATTAATTTAATCCTGCAGGAAATTAGATCATTGTGGAAATAAAATCATTGGGAATACACTGGATGAACTGGGCTAATTTTAAAAGACTGCTATTGCTATTCTTATTATGCACAGTTTTGCAGGGGTGTATTTTGTAGCACAGTTTATATCCTGTACACCAAAGCTCTTGGATGGGAAGGAAAAAATATCACACACAAATTAACATTTACATAAGGATCCTGTGAGCTTTACTTCTTTCTGTTGTGCAGTGTCTTTTTGGATGAGTGTGTACCAGAATATGAGGCTTGAGTGGTTTGATTGACAAGACAGTCAACGGCTAAAATAGTGAGACCCATTAACCTATTAAAAGGAGCATCATGTTGTTTTCAGCAGCCACCAGCGATCTGGTTTTTAGATCGCAACCAGATATGTGCACGTACGCACACGTACGCACACTCAAACTCATGAGGGGGCAAAATCCAACACGCATACAGACTCACAGGGAGACAGCTTCACACAACATGCTGGAAACTCAGGTAAACTCCCACTGCAATGTTAATATTTTTATCAGCTTGAGGTTATATTATCTTGGTCATGTAAGTTACAGTGACTCAGACGGTGGAGAAGCGGTGTACCCAAGTACTGGTAAAACAACAATAAATCTAAATTGAACGTAACGAAGCAAGCAGCAGCAGAACTGTGCTAACATTAGCTGGCTACTATAAACAAATAGCTCCACATTTGCTTTTTATCATTCCTTGCAGCGTAAATCAACTTTGACATATTACCGGTGGTACACAAGATAGTAATATGAATCACGTTAGCTAGTGAAGTAGTGGAAAGCCATACAACTAATGTTAGCAACCTAAAACCTAAAAAATTAAACCTGCCCTTGACCCAACCAAATAACTACAGACCTATTTCCAAACTACCATTCATCTCCAACAAATTCTTGGAAAAAATTAAAAAGGACAATATTTTAAATACATTTTAATCCAGCTTTCTCGCACCAACATAGCACAGAAACAGCACTACTAAGAGAGACAAAAGAGTTACTCAATTTCCTTCAGCTAAATCCAGATAAAACAAGGTCACTCTTATTCATTCTCTGTTTTTGGTCTCCACCTGCTCCTGAAAGAAATATTCTGCTCTTCAGCTGCTGAATCCTCCACTATATTCACTTGTTAGACGATAACTTTTGGTGCGGGGCAGCATACAGTATTTCTATACAGTAGTTCAGAGTTTTTTTTTTCCTGAGAACAGCTGTCTGCTGTGGCCGACAACAAAAAAAAGCAGTAAGACAAAATAAAAACAGAAAAATTGGAGGCTGGAAAAGCAAAACCATTCCCTAAAAGTCGCCATAAAAATGCACAGAGCTGTGGGGAACTGAAGAGTTATATGATAATTCTCTGTAGGTTCATCACTATGAAATCATTCAGCTAAAAGTCATGGGATCCATTGTTAACATAAAAATATTGATTACAGCCGATTTTAAGTCATGCCACAAAAAGGCTGCATGATGTGAAATCAAACTATCATACTGTACATAATAAGCTACTATAAAAAAAAATTACTTGGTTGAAATTAAGAGTCTGGTTCCAAAAACATCTCCACAGAGACAACAAATATAATATGCAATCACTCAATGTTATTTTATTTTTTCTCTATAGCCAGATATGGTATGATGAATAGCTGAATAGGGATTATGCAAAGGTGTCAGAGATGGCAGTTGCTCTATGTTTGCCGTCAAAATAAGCAACATAGAATAAAAAATAAAGTTACTGCACAACAAAAGCAGCAGAGAGAGATAAATACATATAAAGTGGATCTACTTTTCCATGATCTGATGGGGCTTATCAAATGATAAAAGAGTATATTCTCCGCACAGTATTGAGCTCCTGGAGTGTACGTCATGGCAGCCTGAGCCTGGTCGATAGCTCATCATTCCACATCATTTGGGACGGTAAATCTCTCTTCTGACTGAGTTGAGGTTGGAGAGCAACAATGGTAGTCCTCTCAGTAAGCATGCTTAAAAAGACACTTCACACAATCAGCATGCATTCAGAAAGAGGTTTCAATACCCAGCTCCTACTTTCACACTGAATAGGAGCTGAAATAGACCGATGAGGATTTCTTTTGGGTTTCAGAAGTCTTTCAGGGAATCCAAGGGAAATGTACGTGCTTGCATTTAGCAATCTGAGACAAAATTAAGCTCAGATTCAACATTGGGTTTTGAAGCTTCACCACCAAAATAAACCTCTCCTTACATAAACACTGCACTCTTCACACCCCACATGCATTACTGAAATGCTGAGACACATGCCGACAGATGGCCCATTATCACTGAACGTCTCCAGAGTTCTGGAACATCACACAGTGCTCAGCAAAATGGAAAAAACACATTTTATTCATATCAAATTGATCAGTCTTAAGGTCACCTATTGAAAACTGCAATGTAAACAAAGGAGGCTTGAAACCCAATTTAGCGGTCACTTGACTTTTTCAGTTCCTTCCTGTGCCCTCTTGAACTCCCGAAAATTAACTCAGCATCATGCAGTGATATGGAAAACCAAATAAAAGATCAGCCTTCTTTCTTCCTTCAACTAAAAGGGAGGAAGTGCACGGATTGTTTAAGGTGGCTAGTGTTGCTCTGCTCTATTAAACCCCATACCAGAGTATTAACAGCCAAATGAAGTTTAACTTTCATTCCAGTTCAGTGCTTTAACTCTCCCTGATTCTACTGGTGACAAACAAAACAGTGGGCAAACATAAAAGCTAAAAAGGTTATAGAGGACTACAGAAATATAATTTATCAATAGACAATCTCTGCAAATGTGTGCAATTACGAAAAGCTGTTCTGGAGTGTAATATATTTGTATTTCTAGTCAGATCGGGTCAGAAGGCACCTTGCTTTAGTTACTGAGCTGAAACCACTCCAGGCAACAGGGACATTGTAAAGCACTAGGGTCTGTGCGGCAGTGGAACAGGGGCCATGTTCCACTATAAACAACCTTTTTAAAGTAAGGAAAGCCTGATTTACATGAGGAAAGGAGAGTGCTGCTGCTCCAGCCCACGCATGCTCTCCCAGCCTCTCACTAACACGAGAACAGTTGGAGAATATACATTTTTAGAGCAATTTTCCTACTTTCAGAAATAGCAACAGCAATTCCAACCCGAGACACCGGGGACGTGCTGTAACAGATGGAAAAAAGTTATTATGCAGTCAGGATTCCCCTACCCCACCCCACCCCTCTCCGACCTTCACCACCTCGGACTGCAACCAGGGTCACAGTTTGAGGCTCTGCAGCAGAGGGAGTTTTGATTGATAGTTTGTTTCCAGTTCGGCAGAAGTGCTCTGCCCGTTCCCCTCACTGAAACCATATCAACACCGGGTGGAAAAGCCTGTAATATGCACGTTTCCACATGAAAAAGGAACCACAAACTAGGTTGAGGAGTGATCCAACAGGGGAACAAAGCTGCCTGAAGCTAATGAAGGAGTCTATTAGGTGGCAATTTCCTGGCCAATGTCCAATTTGGCACTCAGGTCCCATAGGGGAACATTTGAGAATCAAGAACATATAAGATGAAGGCCACTGGCATTTTAATTAGCTCGGTTGTACTTACAAAGGAGACACAGGCGGCGAGCAGCAGGATCCTGACCAGGAGGTCTTCAAACTGCTCCAGAACCAGCTCCCACAGGGACTTTCCTGAAATATGCATAGACAAATACACTTTCATGCATCACACTCAATTTAAAGTTTGATGCTTCCACTATAAGGACTCAAAGGTGCCCTTTTACTTAAGGGTGGGAAAGGATCTGTACGATGTATTGACATTAGTTTCATTGTGCTGATAAGCAGCCCTAAAGAAAGACAATCCCTGTATTTACAGAAGAGTAGTGGTGTGTGTCCACAGGTGGAAAGCTGCAGTGGTGTACACTCCCAAAGTTTAGTACTCAGTCTACAGAAAAGAAAAGATCCTGGTTCAAGTACACTTAATGAGGTAGTACAGGGAGGAGGATCGCAGCTCACTGGAAAAATCAATATTTACCTTCTTCAGCTGGTAGCTCTGTGGATGTCGCACCACGCCGGTTGTAAAGGAATCGAATTGGTGGGACGGGAGAGAGTGGAGAGGGGAGGAAGGTTGGTGGTGGAGGGTGGAGGAGAAAGACAAAGAGCAGTTAATACAGTTGATTGACTCAGCATGACTTGCTCAAATTGCTTTGCAGAATTATTCTACTGGGTTATGATGATAAACAGCAGAACAGCAACACTGTTGTTTTCAAACAGAGGATTATGATCTGCTGTTTTGTTGTTACTAACTTTAATAACTAATCCAAGTCTAAGATATGCGACTGAGACAAAAGATCCTTTATTGATTCTCAGCTCAGGATGTTTTAAACTGCCCTTTCAGTACCTTTAGCGTAGCTTTAGGCCTACAGTTTCATTTCAGCTGTGTAATGACTCTCAGAAAACATTGTTAACACAGATACTGTAATAACAAATAGCTTCATAAGACCTAACCAAGGCCTTTGATACCAGTATGATTGCTCATCTTCTGCTCTTGTAAAGGTCACTGATGGACTGTCAGCCCACAAATGGTTTTTAAATCGCCTGTAAGATGGGACTCAATATATCTTTGATGAAGTGAATAAAGTGCATCTTTCCATACAATTTATATCTCAATTATCAAAACTGGTTCTGTTACGTCAGAACACATTTCTTTGCAATACAACTTCTATTGTCTATGCATGTAGGCTGCATTATCGATTAACCTGTCAATTATTTCTTCACCAAATTGTTTGGTCCATTAATTATTGTTGATCTTATATTCCACACAGGCCATGTTGGCATATCAATTTGTCAATTGTTTTGTCTGACAAATTGTGTAAAATAAAAACATATTTAATTTATTTATTTCCAGAAACTGGGAACAAACATGAATATTTTGCGGGAAAAGTACTGAAACCGTGAAAAAATTGAAAAAATCCGTACTTAGTAAAAAATCCGTACTTAGTATGTGAATATCTCACATACTACACCAAGAAGTAGGCCGATTAGTTGATAAAGACATAAATGATAATCAGCAACATGTAATTTATTAAGAACATTCACTGGTTTCAGTTTCTCTAATGTGAGAATCAGCAGATTTTTTCATTTTTATATCCGTGTCAAATCTTTCAGTGGGATAAAACAAGCTATTTGACAGGAACATGTGATTGTTATTTTTTAGTTTTTAATTTCCCAAGGTCAATACATTTCCTTAATCAGAACTGTGGCGATGCCATTGACATTCATGCTGTAGACTTAATCTCTAAACTCTGGAGTTTATTTCTCAATCTCAGCAATCAGGGGCACTAAACCCCCCCTTTTTGCAGCAGCAGCAGCAGCATGTGAGTAAACTCCCACAAAGACAAACCCAAGAATCAGAACATGTTGCTCTTCTCTTTCACATCATCTTGTCACTTTTCATATACCATCTGAAAGGAAAATCTGTATTTTGGGGCATTTTGACAGAAGCTGAGACTCTTATCCACTCTAATTTGATTACCAGAACACAACACCCACAACATATGAGTCAGCGGTGTGAGTAGAAAACACATCAGTCATCTTCTAAAAACATTTCAATTGACAAGTACTGTTGATCAGTGTCACCACAATGAAACACAGGCATACTTAGTCACTGCGTTTGTCAGGTCCTCATCAAGACCAACACAAAGCTATGCTCGACCAGGGCCAATGAAACAACAAACAACATCCGTCACATCTGAAGAACTTGAAGACTGATAATAACGTTCATCTGACTGGTACGTTTTCTGTTTTGTGCATTAATCAGCCATCCAAGTCTTGGTTATGTCATAATTTCTTTCTAGAAAATGTATTCTCCTTCGGAAAACCTCGTGTTTCTCTGCATTTTTTGACCCGACCACGCTACACAAGTATCAAATGTGACCCTGTGGAGAAAGAGAGGCTTGAAAAAGGAAGGGCATTAACGTGAGCCCGCAGCCTCCTTCCAAAAACAACCTTACAGCCATTTCTATTACACATGGCACTGGCAGAAAGAGAAATGATTTCACGTCGTGACTTCTGGAACTGTCCCACGGCTTCAAAATGTGTTTTTCTGTGGTGAAAGATTTTTTTTTTTTTTTTTTTTTTTTTTTTAGGAGAAAAAGTTGTTTGAGGTGGAATAACTTTCTTAATTTGGTTTGCAATAACACCAAGGGGAGCGAATGATAGTAGCAGTACAAACAAGCTATTAAAGAACACAACATTTCTTAAGTAGGCATTAAGCCCAGAACTTTTAATTTGATAACGTCTGCAGTCAAACCTGTACATGATTTGCTGAATAATATTAGTTTTGCATAATATATTAATCTTGGCCAGTACAAAGGTCATCTCTTGACTACATGAATGCCCATCCTCATCCTGTGCAATAATAGCTGATGAGTCATTGAGAATAGCTTTTCAAACTGGCTGTCTGGAGGGTTTTCAGAGAGTTCAGGTTGGACACAGTTGAACTCACAGGGGACTTTTGGCTGCACTCTGCCAGCAGCAGCAGCAGCAGCAGCAGAAATGTGGAGAAGTGGGTTTTGCTGTTTTCCATGGTCCACCACTCTGACATAAGCCTGTTTCCCCATTACTGTGCCTCCCTGGTTGTATAATGTTTTTTATGGCAGACAGGCTGGCTGCGACTCGATTGCTGAAGACAAAGACGGATTGACTAAATGGACAAGACAGACGAAAAAGCAAAGAGAGGGAGAGAGAGGGAGGGAAAGGGTTGGAGGTGCTGAACGGGGTTCCCCGGCTTCCCCCTGCCAAGGATTCCCTTGCAGTCTTCTGGGCTGTGTCAACCCGAGGCTTGCCCAGGCACATTCCTGAATACTGACTTCACCTCTCGTTCTCTCTCCCTGTCCCCACAGCACCTCCCTGCCTCCCCTCGCCTCCTCCCTCCCAGCCCAGACAATGAATAAAAGAGCTTGTTTACAAGCAGCAGAAAAGCAAGCAGCGCGGAGCAGAGGGGAGACACTTCCTGGAGACAGTTGCCAACAACAGTGGGGGAGCTGGTTTCTGTGTCCAGAGAGTCAGGAAGAAAAGCAGGAAACTGGCCATCTATCTATCTACAGTGTAAATGATCTGTTGATAAAGGAGCTTTCACAGCAAGCTCCTCTTACACTTCCCTTTCTAGTCCATTAACAAATTACAGCCCAAATTATTATGACCCCCCAGTATCTGAGTGCGGTTAAGCAGTATTAACAAGATAGAGTTCGGGCCCTCAGTGTAAACTACAAACATGAGAAAGTTTTATCGCAGTTACCATGGTGACTTGGCTCATGAAGCCTCCTTGAAAAACAAGCTTTTCACGAGGTAATGTGTGTCTGTCAAAATTTAACGATAACTGTTATGCAATCAGCAGGGCCTTGAACCAGCATGCTGTGACTGCAGGCATCAAAAACCCCACTAACAGCCAGCTGGTTAAGTGTGAGCAGGGAGGCATAGGTAGAGTGGGTGCATGGAGGTACAGCAGTAAGCCTTGCGCTGCTTCAGTAAGTGGCTCCAGCTCCAGGATCCTGCTCGCTACAAACGCCATGAGAACATAAACATGCCTATAAATACCATGATGGTAACTCCTAATGACATAGTGTACTATAGCTTCCTACATCAACTCTCCTAATGTATTCTCCTACTGGAAAAGGTCTAAATGCATTAACCATATCAAATATGAATCATAAATATACCCCATTCTCCTCCCTAACCTTATTATCTCTGCTACATGAAAGGCATCGCAGGTATCTGCAGAAGTCAATGTTTCCACCATTTACATAAATGTCAACGGAGGGCTTCCCTTTTCTGAGGAGGTCATATGCAACCATGTCAAGTGGGTGAGTGTCAGCTATCTTTGGGAGCCCCGCTGACCTCTAAACAGCCACCCTGAAGATCAGAACGGGAGCCGAGGAGGAAGTGGTATCAAACCACTAATTACTCCTTTGCAGCTTAATGAAACCAGGACGTGAAACCCTGACATGCTGCTACTCTTCAGTCATTACAGGGCCAGAAACCGCACACACTGGATAAAAGCTGCTGTACTCAAACACAAGGATCAAACAAAACAAGACTAAGAGTCTACCACCATCCATGCAATCAGGAAGCCAAATGTGAGCGTCTGCGTCGTCTTTTTCAAAGTCTTCTGTTTTCACCTGTCTGCACTAATATGCTACCCTGGAGTTTTAATACGAAAATGGGGTCGGCAGCGGGTTTTTTTTAACTTCTCCGTCTTAGGCGCTCGGATTCACCGTGTTAGGACAGCAGGCGTAAAAAAGGAGAAAAATGGCTGCGTTGTAAAATTAAAACATAGTAGTATAGAGGTAGCCTTAGTTATAAGGAGGAATTATAGTGCTATAGAACTATTTTGAAAATATTCCTACAATGCGGCACAAGGTTTAAGCTTCTTTGTTACTAATTTTATAATACAAAGTGATTGCAAAAGGTTAAAAGTAGTTTTAAACCACAGTAGATTTTCCTCAAGTCATTGCAGCCGGTTGAGCCTCAGGGTACAGTAATTTTTTCCCAACAAACATTAGGCAAATGCTTCAAACCTGCTGACACATCCAGACGCCCAAGCTGAAATGACTTTGACGTAGTTTTGCGTACTCTGGACAAAGAATGGAAATGCTGGTTCAATTTCAGTGAGAGAAGACAAAAGACACAAGTGGAAAGGAATGATAAGATGTCCTCCTCAATACAACAAATATTATTTAAGCTGCTTTGTTTGATTAACTGATCAACCTGTAATTCTCTCTATGCTGGGGACACATCAACTGTCAAAGCTGCACTGAGATAAAGTTCTTTTGTGAGGCTGTCGTGTCAGGAAAGGAGAATTAGTTTCAAAATGGAGATTTTAATCTTTTGAAGCCAATTAAAACAGCAAATGGCATGAGATTCAGCTCAATGGCTGTTGTGCGTGCCCATTGGCTGGACTGTTTCTGACGTCATCAAGCTGTGGTCAGGGAAAAAGAGACTTCATTTTTTCCTCATGATGCTGCACAGGATAGCACATGTTGAAATTAAATG